ATACCGAGACACGTTGTCTGAAAACGGAAGTATGTATTGGTTTTTCACTTTCGCAAAAACCCCCGACATCGATACTATGCCATATGACGATGATGAAGTCGGGATATGTGCTGGAAAGAGAATTTTAAATGTCCATTTAATGTGATTAAGCCGGGGTCTTAGGGCGGCATTAAGGCCTGCCTGGACATTTCGGGACCAATACGCTTCCAATTTCTTATCGCAACTTCCATTTGTGGTTTCCTAATTAGAGAGACGATTTCAGTGGCCCGGGGTTCGGGCCAAGGGTTGGGGCCAGGCGATTATCTTGGCCGCAGAGCAACTCAGGAGTAAACCATAATGGAATTGAGGGCATTAATATTAAATTCCAAGGTGTGTGAGAGGCTTTGATAGTGTTGCAACTATTTAAATAGTTTCAGGAAATAAAAAATTGCTTTAAGAACCTACTATGAGCTATTTCTCTGGTCTACTGAATGTCCTAAAATTCACAGAATGAATGCAAACTTTGGACATACTGAAACCATGAAATCGATAACTTAAATTCTCTGCACACATATAAGGACTGTTTTCCGGAGAAATATCCTGGTATGTGGCACACACTTTTCTCCACCCAACAGCAAACCCGTCACGAAATTGAGGTTATGTCATTTGTTTAGTTTGTTGCCTCAATTATTTAGCAGTCAGGCCGAGGCAGACTGGCCAAAAACCAATCGAGGCCTTTCGAGACAGGACACTCATGTGCCCGAGTTTTAGAATGTGTGTGTCTTTGGAAGTGAATGTCCTTGCGGTGTTTATGCAATTACATAAATTCTGTGTGACAATTTCGATTTGGATTTTCTTTTATTCAAATTATACCTTCAAGTCCATCAGGGCCCAACACACTTGAGCTCGGCTATAAAATATTTATTGCCAGCAAATAAATCCCACACACACAAGCACACACACTCTGACACTGGCAGACATCGTTATGGTAATTAATTTCAATCCAACACGAGACCTGGCATAATCTTATTTATGCAACTTGTGTCTGGGCTGTGGGATTTGGCATTTCTGATTTAAAATTTTTCATTTTCCTGCTAATTGATGGCCCATATGCGGAATAAAACGAGTTCAGATGCTTGTCAAGAAAAAGCGTCTTGAGTCCATGTCAAAATCTTCTTATTTCGAAGTATATTTCCCCATTCCTATGACCGCAACAAAATCAATTGCCTGTCCACAAGCCTGGCCAATATTTGTGTTTCTGCATTCAGAATGGAAGTGGGCGGTGGGGTGGACGGTCTTGGTGGGGCTGCTCATGCAAAATTTAATTTTAATTTCCAGTGAGCAAATGTTACAAAAGTGAGAACGAGCCAATTTCCTTTCCGACTCTTTCTCGGGTGTACACATTTTAACCACTTGACTGCTTTGTGGCTATGGCTTTGGCTTAAATGCTGCCAGAAGTCAAACACCGGCTAAGAGAATCGTTCAAGTTTCGGTTGCCACCCACTGGGCTCCCGCCATTCTCATCCGCCCTGTAGTGTGTTTCTGGCAATTGACATGCAGACCTGCCTGGCAGACGTAAATCGGCATAAATAATTCATTATTGCCGCCTCGTTGGGCATAAATCAAGTCCGCACACAAGTTTATTCTTCGCTCTAAACGTCTGCAAAAAGCCAAAAAAATAAGAAAACATTTTAGAGAAATAATAAACATTTAAAAAATGGCAAAAATGTACTTGGAGATGCCGGGGATTGAACCCGGGGCCTCTCACATGCAAAGCGAGCGCTCTACCACTGAGCTACATCCCCGTTGCGAAAAACGCCGCCAAAATCCCATTTCGGACACAGGAGTTTGCTGAATGATAAAGGTGGTTGAAATTCTAGGTGAGAGAGAGCAGGTAACAAAGGTGGTGAGTATTTCGTTCCCACATGAAATATTTTATACGAGATATCGGAATAAAATAGATTTAATTGTTTCGGTTTAACTGTAGGCAAACACCAGAAGTTACTTATGAATAGAAACACATTAAACTTTATTAATAATTGTATAAATTAACACAAATACAGTTGTAAACTTATAAACAAAGCTACTAACTAGCTGTTGTCTCTCCTTTTACTAGCAGTTTCTATGCTTTGCCTCTCGCTGTGCCTTGTAAAGGCGTTTAGACGGCGCATGACACATGGGGGATGTAGCTCAGTGGTAGAGCGCTCGCTTTGCATGTGAGAGGCCCCGGGTTCAATCCCCGGCATCTCCAAGTACATTTTTTGCTTTATTTTATTTATTTTTTTCCCTAGAGATCGGTGGTGATGCTCTTTTGAATACTTTGTCACCGAAAAAGTACCGCGGTCGAAAATGATTCCGATTCTGAGATCACAATCGATCGTATTTTTCGCTTCTTCGTAAAATCGATAAAGTGATCCATGTGTATACCAGGCGACCAGAAACCACCAGCAGGCTATACGAACCCGTACACTCTCTCTTGCTTTTTCCAACCGCCCGCATGATCGTTTCAAAAATATAAAATGCTCTGGGGAGAGGGAGATAGCCGACTGCCGGCAAGAAGGTAAAAGCGAGATGGCTGAGGGCAGAGAACCGTGACAACGCAAACATGTGGGTATATATAGATATATATACTGTGTATATACGTACGTGCCGGCTAATTACGACTCGCAGCGTGTGAATTTGTATTTCTTTATTTTTTCCCCTACTGTGAACGCGTATTGTGTTCGAGAGTCGGATTGAATCGGTTCCGTTGCCTCTCTGAATATTTCTGGGCCCCTGGCCAATTGGTTAAGAAGATTGAACGATTTTTGCACGGTTTCGGTCTCGAAAAAGTTCATTTGAGTACCCGGCCCTGTTGATCGTTCCGTCAGGTTGAAAAAAAAACCACTGGTTGGGGGAACCTCATGCTGCCAGTTCAACCGAACGTTGCGGTTGAAATTGCCATGGGTTTTTCAGAGATTTTGTTAATAATCCTAAAGTGCTACTGTGTACTTTCTTGGATATCGGTTCAGGTCTCTTTCATTAAGTTTTCTCCTCCATCGGAAATGCAATTTAAATCATTTATTACGAAAGCCCCCTGGGGATTACGGGAAACTTTTTTATTGCCGGTGCCGAAAACTTTTGGCCAAATCTCACGACAGTTGCATTTGCACCTTTTCTTTTCCTCAGCTATTTTTGTTTTTGTTGATTTTCGTTTTTCCTGCATATAAATTTTGTGCCTAATCCGGCGACGTTTTCTCAGGGAGTTGCATTTAATGCCGCCTCCCCCATTTCCTATAAATATTCATGCAAATTGGCAGAGGGCTAAAGAAGGCGCCAGCACCTTCGAAAGATAAACACAGGAGAGCGAAAAAAACAGACCAGGTGGCGCCCTTCACTTGGCCTTAATTAAATGTAAAGGAGTTGAGTTGCGCTTTAAAATGCAATCGCCCCGTGGTAAGTGGGGAACTTATTAGCAATTTCATAATTGCCCAGCCAGCACTAGTTTTGTCTATCTGCCAGTATGACTGTCTGCCCAGACCCTCCTCGAAGCGACCAAGCTTCTAGACTTCCAAGGGTCTGATGGCCCGAACTTTTTCAAAAACTAATTAAAACGATAAGGGCAACCCAAGCAGCGAAATGTCTCGCGGAGTTTTCAAAAACCCAACACTGAAGGAAAAAACTATATTTTAAAGTCACTAAAAAAATTAAATAAAGAACAAGGTTAAATCCCAAATCTATTTAAAAAATGAATTGGAATATCTTCCTTTTTTTAAATCCATATCCTATCAAAACTTTTCAGTGTGTACCACTTTTTCTATTTGACTACGATATTTATCTGAAGATCGGGCCAAATTTGCATTAGTACACGGCTTTTGTTTGTCTACCACACGTTATGGAGGAGGCGAGTGGGCGGCAAAAGTCAATTTACTTCAATGGCCGGGCGGAAATTAAATAAATTCCATGAGCACACGTCAGGTGAGCCAGGCCGAAAATGACAGTTGTCAGCTGTCACGTCAAAGGTACAGTTGACCACAAATGTATCTGTTTGATGGAGCGGTTGGATTTTCCCCACCCCACACCCATTCATTTTTCGGGTTTTGGGAGCCACCACTGGATGGTTCCTTCTTCTTTTGTTATGAGTATTTAGCAACAATTTGATTACTTTTTCATGGTCTGTGGCATATGTGTCGAATCAAGCAGGAGCTACCATTGCCCAACGGATTCGTCATGCACTCGATGCAAAAAAAGGATTCATATGCTCATCCTCCTGATTGATTTCCATACAGGTAAGGCACTCGCTTGGAAATAACGTTGGCCAGGCCCGATAAGAGCCCAGAATGACAATGGGCATTAAAGCGGCTCGAGAGTGAAGACAATGGAGTGGAGGGCTCACTCGGAATAATGTGCTTAAAAGCGAAATTATTATCTTTGATAGGCTGAAATAAGCTGAGTCTAATTCTTTTTGCAATGTTGAAAAAAACCAGATAAAATAATGTGCATATGGTATTATTATTCGGGGGATGGTGGGAAATATATTTATTTATGTTTATTTATTTATTTGTTATTATAATATATTGGTTAAATTACAAATTACGCATATTTCTTAGTTTTATATTCAAATGATGTTAATATAGGATCGATCAAACTTTTTCCCGCCAAAGAAACCCGCCATACTGATCGCACACCACTCGGCCATTTTGTGATTTCACTAAAAGTATGCAACAAATATTAAGCATCTTCCGGTGCTCTCTCTCAGGAAGTGAGAGAACCGTATGAAACGAACCGGTTACGCATGTTCATATAGGATGATATGGAACCGGATAAAAGGATAGTAGAATAAATTTTAACAAGAAATAAGTACCTCCCAATAAGAAAAATAAGTTGCCTACGTTGACAATGTTGCTATACAATACATGTTGCTATTTATTTTCCTCAAACCTAAAAGTATGCAACATATTTAGATTTTTTTTTGGGTTTTACCTGGTGAGCGGTGAGTGGAGTCTCTCACCTGCCACTGAAATCAGTTACTATTTGGTAACTAAAGCGGTAACACCGTACCACCGGATCTCCGCAGCGCGATAAAGTATTATAATTACGCAGGAGCACAACAACAGCAGCGTGTATCGCTCTCTACCTCTCGTTCTCGGCGCCCCCTCAACAGTTATTTTTACTATATAGAGCCGAGAGATTTCTGTGTGACTTTTTGGAGTGTTCGTTTTCGTTATTTTCGTAGCTCCTTCGTTTTCATTAAAAGATAAGTGCGGCTTAAATAACAACAACACGGCAACAGAGGTAGCAGCAGCAACAGCAACATTTCGCGAGTGCCAGTGACAACGTTTGCATACGAAAAAGCAAAAGTGCACCAAAAAAACACACACACAACTAACATCGTTGCGAAGAAGCGCAAAAATTCAACACATTTGAAAGGGAATTTTTTCTGATCGTACATATATATTTTTTGAAGCGGTAAGTTGAGAAAACAAATTTTATTTACAGCCTTGAGACAGTTTCAGAGCCACTGAACTTGACCAAAATGCGCTTCGAATTTCAATTAGAATGGTTACTTAGAAAATCAACAAAAACGTGTGGAACATAAATAAATGCACAAAAAATAATTCAACAGGCATATCATTGAATCATTTGTAATGATTTAACCAAGTTAATAAAAATCTATTTCATTTGGAAGCCAGCCAAATTGAAAGCCATCAAAATTGCATTTTCAATAACTGAAATTAAATAAACAATTTATACACGCAAAGCGTGTTGGAAAGAGTTATGAAGGTGCTTTGGAAAAAGGGGGCTTTTAGGGGGGTTGGAGGATGCAATCAACCTTAACTCATGCACAGAAAGATAATATTTTTTACAAATTAATTTGGAGAATTATTTGGAATAAAAACAAGATACTATAGACCAGTTATACTGGGGCAAGTTAACAAAAATGATCAATAATGATATCATAATTTGAGATATTAAAATGCTAATTTTAATAAATTTTTGAGAGTAAAATCCTCTTTTATTTTTTGCTGTGCAACCAAGCTGAATCAACAAACTCAATCCAAATTAAAATACGTTTTTATTGCGTCCCGCTAAACGTGTTGCCCTGCTAACTGTTTTTGGCTGCACTAACAGCAACACCGCCTTACATAATAATTGTTTTGATTTATTTCCCCCGCTCGCTCGCAGCACCCTCCCTCCCCCTCTGGTCGATGGCATTGCATAAGGCCTTTTTCAAATGCGACATGCATGCGATTTTTTCTCAGTCTTTCTTTTGCTTATCGCTGGCCTCTCTTTAACGCTTTTATTCATAATTCGCTTTCGGCGGGTTTTTCTTCTTCGAGAAGGCACTCCCCAATACCACCCAATAGCCCCAGCCAGCCAGCCAGCCCCCATCTCCTCGATTTTGGTCAAGTGACAACGTCAACTCGACTCCGGTATTCCAGCTATGTAGAGTCCCAAAGCAGGTTTCTTTGATGGTTTTTTGGTTGATTTTTCTGTTTTTGTTTAGACTTTGCTTTTATTTTAGACCCGAAGCGAGCGTTGTGGCTGCTACGTGTATTAATTCACCGGTTTACTTCACCTGATTTGCTGGTTGTGCATTTTTGTCGCGTGTATTTCTGGTTTTTTCAACCATCTTGGCGTTTTTACGGTGTTTTTGTGGGTTTTTCTGTGGCACTTGCCGCCGCCGCCGCGCTTCAGATTCATATCCAATCTTTACCGATCTGCGCTTGTCACTGGCTATGCTAATTCGATTAATTTGATTAATTCTGCGGCTTCGGCATTTAGCGATCTGATTTTTCGCATTAACACAGTTACAGGCCGACGCTTTTTGACACATTTCACCCATGAAGAGATCTTGAAAAGATCATCGCATCCGAACCAGTTCTTTGAAAAGAGGGGATTGGCTCAGGTTCTTTAGCTTCTAAACTTTAAGATTTTCTAGGAATCTATTCATTTGCTAAAAATCCTCCCATCAAGATAGACAAAATCATTCATTTTTAACTGGAATTTACTTTGTTGAAAAAGGTATGAGTGGATATATAGATATTTTTATGAATTAGGTAATCAAGTGATTAATAGATCCAAAAGATTCTCTATCTGCTTCCCAGACAACAGCGGATTCCGAAGGTTAAAAGTGATCGTGGCTGTTTTGATCGCATTTTGAAGTCGCAGCCTTGAAGTCTGGTTCGAAATTTTGAGCAAAAAAAAACAATGATAGCTTCTATAGAATTGGCAAACCTTATAGCTACTTATCATATTTGGGTGAAAAGCAAGTCGTGACTCATAAGGTTCCCACATCCATTCATTTGCATTTGACTGGCATGCGAAAACATTTACAATTGCAGCCTCTATACACAATGGATGATACCTGAATGAATACCTCTAAAAATATAAATTTTTTCAAGTTTTTCAAAAGTGGTTATATCTGTTGGATGTGTCTGTGTTTGTTGCCAACAATTTGCACACTTGGTACGCGTATTGTTAATGCATTATTATTGTATTATTTCTACTTAAGCTGGTGATCATCGTTTTTTCTAATCGTTAACTTATAATATTCTCAAGGTCTTCGTCTCGATGAGAAAACATTGACGACGCAGTCAATCCATAAGATTATTATATAAAAACTCTCCCGAATATCTCCAATCAAGACGTAGAAATATTTCTTTTCGCTTTTTATAAACTTTCGAAAAAAAAGCGTAAAAAAATGTATAAATTATACAAAATATATGCTTTATTAATGGATGGGGCAAACTAACGAAAACGAAAGCCCCACTCCCAGTCGGAGTCTGGGATCTCTCACACAAAAATGTTTTGCTTTTCCTACTCGAACTCCCTTTTTTTCGTGTTTGGCCGCTCGGACAAAAGGCCCAAACAAGATTCAACAGCCGAAGAAACGCCTAAAAACAGCAGCAGCAACGAAACAAGTACAAAGCCAAAGATATTTCAAAAGGCCAGCACAAAGCAGCCACAGAGCGAAGACCAGGCCGGGCAAAGCCAAAAAACAGGTTCTAGAATCAATTTTTATTTTCTCAAGCTCAACCAAAAAAATAACTACAGAAACAGAATAAAACGAAATTCAAGACGCAACAAAAAAAAGGGAAGTTTTGGCTGTCAAAAGAACCGAACTTAAAATGCCCTCAAAGGAGTGGGATAATATGGAACCAAGAAACCCTAATCCCATAGATAAGATTCTCATAATATTCAAAGCATGAGATCTTTACAAAAAACTTCTACTGTTACTTTTAGTATTCCAAAAATGATCCCTAGAACCATAGGCATTATTAATTCTTAAAGCCCAAGAGTACCTAAGAGTATCTCAAAAATATTCGACGGCTCAACGCACGAAAAATATTTGAGGCAGCCGCAGCATCAAAATGAATTTGGTTAGGACCAGGTTTCTACAGATACACAGATACAGATACTGCTTCTAAGTGGCTCTCCCCCAGCTGCCCGTTGAGACCCTCCACTTAGGGCGATCTTTATACCTTTTATTTTTATTATTTTGCTGCTTGCTAAAAAGTTTTTGTACTCGGCCCGCAGTGTCGTCAGTGCTTGTATCTGTATCCGTGTATCCATGTATCCGTGTGCGGGTATCTTTGCGACCAGGCGCATGTGTGCGATGCCACATGCACACGTTCTGTCAGATACATTGCGCCTAGAATTTTTCAGCCAAGTTTTATGAGCTTTTTTTTTTGTCAGGCCGGCAACAGAAACAAGTCGGCTACATGGCTTACATCCAAAAACAATTTGTGTATTCGCTGCTGTTGCATCTGAAAGATTGCTTGGCCAGCGTTTTAACTCTTTCTTGTGTCTTTTTTTATTTTTATTGACATTTCCTCTTGGAGTTGCGAGTTCTATAATTTTACACGTAATTTCCCCAGCTGGCTTTTTATTATTTCGTGTTTTTGGCGACTCTGCAAATTGCTTATTAAAGTTTTGATTGATTGCCAAGTACGCCCAGACAGATCCGTTGTCCGGAAACCTGAAGCACCGAGACATAATATACGACTGGGCTGGACTTACATATCTTGGGGTTTCTCTTTGGCCAACTCTCTTGTTTTTCTCGCAAAGCATAATTACCAGATTCACTTTTTTCCAAGGAATAGTTTTAATTTATCACAACTCCAAGTTCAGTTTTTATGGCATAATTATTACTTTAACACGAGATCTTGTGTATGTTTTATTGAAGATAAATTAAGAGGCTGTGATAGGAATACTAACTGCTGCCGTAAGCCAAGAGTAAATATACTTTTGTTAGCTTGACCCTACTTGCATGTGACCAGCGACTCTTCAAATCCCATAAATGCCACTAACTAACGACTATTTTTAAACTTTTAATTGTATAAAAAATTTGTTGGCTTGTTTGCTATTGGCGCGATTTGATTAGCATGCCAAGTGCCTGTACCTGACTGCAGGTGTCTCAATCTCTGCCCGACTCTGTTGGAGTTTTAGTTTCCAAGTCAGAGGGGCCAGCCAGGTCACACTCAGGCTCTGAACCAGCCCCGAAGCCAGATTTACATTCACATTACAGCATTTGCCATTGTCATTGAATAATGGAAAAAACGCAAAGAATGCAGTGGCTAGATTCGAATTTTGAATACCTTTAGCAAAAATGGTGGCCATCACATGACCATTATGAACTTAGGACCCAAATCCTTTGAACTGAAATGAGCAGGATTAACCTACCTTTGGCCAACCAGTTTTTCTTGTCTTTTGACCTGGGCCACGCCTAATATCCCCTCTGTACTTGAGGCAGGGGCAATGGGTAAAATAAATAATCATAACCAGTTTCGCAGAGTTTCCCAGCTGTACTCAAGGCATTTGCTAACCATTCTCAAACGCCCGCGGCGACAACAACCGACAGCCACTCAGAAGATGCGTCTTCTCGCATCTGGGATCTCACATCTCAAATCTCAAACAATTTTTTGTCGAGGTGGGGCCTCGCATCGAGGAGGACTGGAGGCTGCTAATGAATTTTTATGGAGGTCTGAGCAAGTGATTCATGGGCGGTTGTGAAACTGTCACCACGATCTATTGGGAGACAAGGTGCTAAACGAACCCTAAAACTTCTTGGGTCTAATCACCTTGGCGGTTTGGCGTCATCTCTCCCGAAATAAGCCTCACATAATTAGCCATGCATATCAGTAAAGGCGGACAAGGGCAATGGGAAAGTATTTGTTTAATTAAAATCAGGCGGGGATAAGATAACGCTCCGAATCTATTAAACAATAACAATATTTGATAAAGTCAAACAGAAAAATTAAAATGTGTCTTAAGTCGTTAAGATAATGGGCCCGAGAGGTGCAGTAAAAAATAACACAAATGAAAATCAATTAAATGTGTCCCGCCTTGAAGTCTGAATGGCTCAACATTGAAATCGATGAAATATCGCCGATCATGAATCGCAGATAGTGAAAGTTCTTCCTGCTCTTGGTTTTCAGTTTTCAGACTTCAGTTTTAGGTTTCAGATTTCTTTATATATTTTATTACTTTCATAAAAATCTCTGCGAAGCACTGCAAGTGATTTTGCGAATGTCGTCAGACTTTGTTTAATTTATTACCTGGCTTACAACATTTAGTTAGCTTTATTATCATCATTCTGTCATTGGTTGTTTTTGCCATAGGACTGTGAAATATTATAGACGTAAGTTGTGTCTTAAACTGGCTAGTAATAGTTTATATAATAGTAATAAAGTAAGACCAACTCTCGACTATTTATGGCCGAGATAATTGAGATTTTGGGGGAATTTGTTGAAATACTTAATTATAGCATATTAGGCAAAAGGGTGGTACGTTAAGTATATATTACTTTTGCCGGTTTAAGGTTCGTATTTAAAGTTTTTAGTTATTTTTAAATCATCGGGAAATTGCTAGGGAGTGACTGGGCCTACTTGGTAATATCTGATTACAAATCAGTTCCCATGAACTGATATCTTAGGTCTCCCCAACCCCCCAGTTCCATAATGACTCACATGTTTAGCACTTGCCTGGTGAATTCCTCACCAAAGACGCTTTTTATTATTATATGCCTTTATTGTGATAAACCCGCCATAATCCCCGGAATACGAAAATGTATCTTATCTCCATTATTTCGCAGTTTCCCTTTCTAGTTTCCAGCTTATCTGATCCTGAGCTTGCATATTTGCATGGCCTATAATTAAATTCCTTTCGAATGTGCGAAAATTTAACAATAAACAGAATTTAATTAGATTCCCCTTGGAAGTCTGCCGCGAAAAGTTTCCATCGAGAAAATTCTGAAAACGTACTATAGGGTTTTTTTTTTTTGGATTTCTATTATAACGGATATATATAGCGGATTCGAGGGGCAGTGGGCAGTGGGAAATGGGCGGGAGAATCCCTAACCGAATCGAAATCAACTACCTGTAAGTGCCTAACGGCTAATTTGCTTTAATGATGGGAAACCGCTTAAGTAAACAAACAGGCAACAACAATGGAGGCTGTCTGTTGTCCCCAAGCGGGGGCTCTGAAAGGGGAGGAGTGGGTGGACGGGGGTTTTGGCCATAAAACCTACGAATAAGTGTACCTGTGTGTGTGTGTGTGTGTACTTCATGCTTGATTGCAAATTCAATTAAAGTTTGCGCAGTTCTCCGAGCTAGAGAGAAGCTATGGAGAAACTGGAAACAGAAGTCAGGTTTCTAGGGGGGAAGTACGGACATCGGGAAATAGATTGACGAAACAATAGAACCGATTTATGGATTTGTGAAATGTTAAAATATATCTAGATTCATGTTTCCAAAAAAATAGCATACTTTTACAAACATATATTAGTGCTATATTGTAGCACCATCTTGAATTACATTTAATTGGTTCTTTGTCTTTTAATTGCATACCTTATTAACTATTAATACATTTAATTTCCGTCCATCTATTTAACGATTCCTTTGTTTTGTGACGTTTTTTTTTTTCAAATGTCAGTTCCGCTTCCTAATCGAAATATGTTTGAATCGAATGACTGAGTGCCATAAACCTACTTACGTACATGCGACTGCGAATATGAACAATTATTATTATTTTTATTATTATTTCAATCCCATCCCATGGAGGGAGCCCTGCTCTGTTCCCCACCCACAAATTGTCTGATTGTTGGTTCTGAATTGAATTTTTTTTTGCGCCTCATTGTTTACCTTTGTATTGAATTAAAAATCGCTTACAATGGAAGCTGGAACAGCGACTGTCAAGGTCATTTTACGAGCTCATCTTGTTCCAATAAATTAGTCCCAAAAACCGCAAAAAACTGAGAGTGGGGGGTGCTCATCAACAGCTAATGCCAACACTCATAAATCTTACAGCCTTTCCTCTCGACCGATGATTCAACTTTCAACCAAGAAACGTGTCTGAAAAAAAACGAAAACAAAAACATAAATAATTATAAAATAAAAAGCAAACAAATTTCGTACTAAGGCGGAACCCAAAAAATGCCTGAGACTGGAGTTGTGTTTGTTGTTATTTTTGAAATAAAACAAAAGTTCAGGGTTTTCAAGTGGGCTGGAAATTACGGGCAATTAATATCTGGGGAGCTTTCAATTGTGAGAGTCGCGATGACGCTGCCTAATTTGCATATTAAACGAATCCAGGTATTTAGGGAGTTATCTTTCGGCTTGGGACCCCTGCTAAGTGAAATATACTCACGTTTATTGGTAACATATTACGAAACTTTTGCTGGCCATCTGTTCTAATGCCCTGTTGCCAAGTTTACAGGAAAATCACGTTCCTTAGACCGAAATAGCGCGGAGTAGAGCGATAAGCGGGCGTACTAAATCAATTTTGACCCATGAACACATGCAATTGGAATTTCTGGTTACCAGGTTGGCCAGGCGTGCTGACGGGTTGACGGTTTGTCGGGATTGCCAAAGCCAAAGTGGAACAGCGACGAAAACAAAAACCCAAACTTAAGCACGGCCATAAACGCTATTTGGCGAGCAATTACACTTATGGCCGAGTACTTGGCCAAAAGCGAGATATGCCCAAATACAAACTATCGCTCGGACAATTTAAAATTAGCCAGCGAACAAACACGTACCAAGTATCCGGATCCCGACCGGAGCTTACTCTTTGGCCAGGGTCGTGCCGTGGGGTCAGGTGCCGGGCCGGGAAGTGGGTCAACATATTGTCAATGTCGGTCATAAAGGGAGGCCGAGCGATAAGGTGGCCAGAAAGCTGAATGAACCGAGAGCACTTTCGTTATCATTCAGAAGTCGCCGCGTGGTTGGCCATAAAACTATATACTATACAAGTCCAGTGGACTTTTGCCGATTGCAGCTCCCACATTCCTTGGTGTCCCCCAACTAATGACGAACTTGGTGTTGTTTTGTGGAATTTTTCTCGGTTCTCATTCACTCTCCACAGAACATCATTAAACCTTGAGTTTTATCAGCAAATGTTTCTCCGCCAAATGAGACTTGTTTCATACAAATTGGGGTCGAGCTTATACGATTGGTATTTACCCTATTAGAGGGTTTTAATAAGAGTACTCCAACAGGAAACTATTAATTCACATTATCCGAGCTATTTTAAGTATTTCATTCATATTTTATTCAAGTTATTTGATCCCGGATGTACACAAAAGTTGAAATACCCCACAAACCTATGCCCTTTTAGGGGATATCTTGGAATTTCTGAAAAACTCATTTCGCTATCGGCTTCCAAGTCGGTTGCCGCTCGCTCGGTTCTTTAAAAGGCCTTACAAAATACCTAATACAGTCGTTTCTTTCTTCCACAGCCCTCAAGATGTCCACGCCGACTTCCCCCAAGACACCCACACCGCCCACTCTGCCTCCGGGAGTGACCAAAACCTGTCACATTGTGAAGAGGCCCGACTTCGATGGCTACGGATTCAATTTGCACTCGGAAAAGGTCAAGCCGGGACAGTTCATAGGCAAGGTGGATGCAGATTCACCGGCTGAGGCAGCGGGCTTGAAGGAGGGCGACCGAATCCTGGAGGTCAATGGGGTGTCCATTGGCAGCGAGACCCACAAGCAGGTGGTGGCCAGAATCAAGGCGATCGCCGACGAGGTGCGCCTCCTCCTGATCGACGTGGATGGCAAGGCTCTGGAGAGGCCATCACCCCCGCCAGCAGCAGCAGCATCCTGCAACGGAAACGGAAACGCGAATCAGAACGGATACGAGGGCACCAAGCAGGAGATTCCCGGAGCAAGTGCCAACATCAGTAGCATCAGCATGGTTAGCACCAAGCGATCTTCAAACGCCAGCAGCATCCAGAGTGGCAGCACCGTGAATGCCTCCGACTTGGATGTGGTGGACAGGGGCCTCCCAGCCACTCCCCCAGTGGTGGCGCCCCTGCCCGTGGCTCAGAATGGCAGCAAACCCTCGTCGCCCATCAACAACAACACCCTGATGAGCACACCGCCACCGCCATCTGCCACTGTGGCCGGATTGAACAACAACGGAAGCGTCTACAACACCAACGGCAATGGCACAAATGGCATGACCACACCCACCACGCCTCCCTCGGCGACGGGCGGAAATAGGGCGGGCAGCCTGAACTTGCCACTGACGGCCGCCGAAATGCGCGCCAAGTTGGCCTCCAAGAAGAAGTACGATCCCAAGAACGAGACCGTGGACCTCAAGAAGAAGTTTGACATCATCCAGAAGCTCTGAGAGGAAGATAGCACTTGTTACACTGTCAGGATGAGATGAGCTGAGATGATGGGGAGGTCTGGACGTCTGTCAGGCATACACCACATACACACAATATACAATATGTTTAGCTAGTAGTACGCAGAGTCACTTATTAACTAAGCAAGTTTTTAATTATTACCCACTAAGAATCGAAAAACAATAGGGGAAGTGATTGAGCGAGCACCTCCTCTTGGAATACCCATACGAAAATATACATACGACATGAATGTATTCTTTAAATTCAAATATTGCAAACTCCGATCGGTTCATTGAACAACTTTCGTTGAATGTCTACTAAGTTTTGCTTGTATTTTTGTAAAGTAAATAAAGCAAAATTATAAAAGAAGTATGCTAGCAAGTGTTATTCATTGGGGCAGGCAGCTGATCAAACAAGTCGGTTTTCGGTTTTCGAAAGGGGTGAAACTAGTTTCGTGGTAAGACCTTTAAAATTTTATTTCTGACATTTTGCGAAAAAAACAGAACAAATACTCATTAATGAATTCAAAATAAAGTCAAGCAGTCACGATTATAAATAAACAAAATATTTATATCCTAACTTTAGTGTTCTTTAAAATAAAATCTTTAAAACTTCAAATTACTTGATTTTTAAAAACAGTGTTACAGGTTCACAATTAAAATTCGACATTTATTCTTTAAGCTTACTCCCTATTTGGCCCTAAAACAGGCCTTGGACTGACACATTGTGTGTTAGCAGTGCAGCTCCTGCCGCTTTAGATTGCACAGGGCACATGCCACAATTAACATTTCATCGAGGTACCCCAGGAGGGATTTCTGATCTATCGCGGAATGGCCAAGCATTCGGAACTCCCTGAGGCCATCGACCAAATTCCTCATTTGAGCTCTACATGCGGGTTCTTGAACTTTTAAGGTCGGCAGCTGAATCGACGCGGCTCTTTTCGAAACGAGAGCTCCGTCCACAACACTCAGAGACTGCTGGCTGGCTAGCCGGCCAGTCAACCGCTGGGCATGGTATTTGCTTAGCGATGGAGCTGGCCCATCCTGGAACTCTTCCTCATCCCCCGAGTCGTCATCTGTTCCGATTCGCCTCGTGCGTTTCACTGCCTTGCCAGGTTCCGCACAGAGGGTCAGGTACTTGGGAACTACGTCCCGAAAATTGCTGGCCTCAAACAACTGGAGATCGTCGCAATTGCCAGGGTATACGCTGGACACATAGCTAATAATGCCTGCAAGGTTAAGGATGTTACGGTTAGGACTCCAATACGTTTTGTTGAAACTCACTGTTTGTGTTAATGCAGAGTATAAATTTGTAGGTGGAGCTACCCAATCGAAACTCTTCGTCCACGTCCGTTTCCACGCACTCGATCAGCGATCGAACGTGCAGAAGAGTGGCTCTGTAGTCTATAGGCGTGTGCTTCAGCCGTTCTTGGTAGTGCTGGGCGTCCGGCCACCGGATTAGCGTCCGCATGCAGCGCGCCAGCTTGATTAAAGTTCGCTTAAACGTGTCCTTTGCATCCGCTTCGCTTACTTCGAAGTGTTCGGCAAGCAGGGCAAAAGGTTCATTTTGACGAAGTTTCCGCAGCGTGATATAACAATCCAGGTGGGTGATGTTGGCGGTTCTGCAGATGTGTCGCTTCAGCAGGGGCAGGTGCTCCGCTGCCACTCCGAGGTGAAGCATTGGAGCGTGTTCCACGAGACTAAGCGTTAAGCTTCGCATCGTTCTCTGAGGCTGGGGAAGCTCCCTCTTGATAAACACAGCTTGTCTGACGGCGGACACTGTTGGTGTGCTCTGCAGGGAGCTCCTACTGCTCGCGGGAGTACTTGGTGGCGAAGTCACCATAGGTGATGTGGCCGGCACCAATCCTGCTGGTCTCGTGGTCGCCTTGATGATTGTGTTTGGCGGCAGTGAGTTTATAGCTACGCCCAAGCTCTGGGACTCCCTCCGAACTTTCCATTGCACCGAGCTGCTGGATGACGCAGGAGAGCTACTGGAACTAAAATTTAGTGTATATTTTGGCGTCTTAGGCAGGATTTCTGTAAATTCAAGTATCTAAATTAGTCAAGTGTTTAAGGAAATTGTTTCACTTACGTCCTACAGTACCTGGCGAAGATGTAATTGGTGTCGTGGACGCTGACACTGTCGTGGATGCTCTTTTCATGGTTGGCCGCAAGACAACTGGAATCTGGTTTAGAAATACGCCTTCTGATGTCCCTCTTACAGGTGTTATACCCGGCTCCAACTTGTTGTTATCAAAATGTGATGGATTTTGTTAGTTAATGGCAATTTGTAGTTCTCTGTTGTGCTCGTCTCTTCGTAAATGCCATTCATCAGCTGTTTGCCTACCTTTGGTATTCGCTGGAAATCCTCTGTCTTTGGCCGAAATGGTACGACCGTCTGCCTGGGTACTACTCCACCAGGCGGTTTTTTGTAGTTTGTTATTGTTAGCGACATTAAATTGCTTAAAATAGTTACTTTCCTTAAGAAACGGATTTAAATGCAAAAAAATTCCTTTGAGGCCGATAGCTCGATAGCTCATTTGTAATCGAATTATTCACTTTTAGGGGGGGTCACACTGGAGGATAAATAAATAAGGAGCACTTAGAAAACAATTCATTAGCCCTACGCGATTAAGCAAAACTTATATTTCAAGGAGAATAAACAACTTTTATAGCCAGTACTCATATCGATATTTAGCTCAATATTGATATAATAGTTTTGTTATCTCTAGCCCAACTTAGGTATTTTTCAACACTAAAGCTGTCATCGATAACATCTCAATGGCGGGCAATTTGGTTTGATACTTCAATTCAAGTTTAGCTCTCGCCGAGTTCGGAACGCTAGCGCTACGGCAGCGTTTTAGCCACGCTTCTTATTTTCTCCTATAACAAAATCGGTCAGTGGTGTATGAAAACAACAATAATTTCCTAGCAATTGCTTGTGGTTTCCGGTGATAATTAAATGGCACATGCAGAAACCTTCAAACAGAAAAACTGTGACCGTGAATATCCCAGCAACCTGATTCCGTATCCAATTCAAAAGACAACGCGCCTCGCATAAATAATTGAGTAATTTTCATGCCGCTCAGCCTCAGCCGGAATTTAACAGTTCCCCTTTATTAGTGGCTCACCGTAAAATGAAACTGAAAAAAAGATAGTACCCAACAAAAAGTCATTATCATTATCAGCAAAAATTGCGCATCCGACAATCAAAGATAAACATCCGTATCAATACGATCCATTTCGAAAGGTGATAAGCCAACGAAAGGGTGGAGTTTGCTGAACAAGTGAACTTAATTGCAAAATATTACAACACGATTAATGGAATTATCAACAGAAAATAATACTTTAGATAAATATAAACAGTGGAACGCGGTTATGACCTTAAAAATTTGGGGTTTCAAAAAATGAAACCTAGGGTTGAACGTACTTCTGTAAGCTGGCAAAAATACAAAAAAAAGAAGCAACAGCTGAAGGAGAAACAGGCCAACAGCAATTTTAATTTAATTAAATTTCGTTGTTTTGCTATGAGGGTGTGTGCGTATGTGTGTGTGAATAAGCGTTCTCGGTTAATGTGCCTGCTACTGGCATACTGGATCGGATAATCGACGTAAAGCTTCCACCCACAATTCAGAAAGAGATAGCGACACCGCAATTGACTTTGTCATAAATGATTTCTGTTTTTTTTTTCGGTTTTATTTCGATTATAAGTATGTTTGTTTTCCGATCGTCGGTATACGTGGGTAGTTGGACACTCTGATTTTGTTGGCTCATTCGATGGAAATTGTTTACGGCTTAAAGTGAAATTTAATGCCATTTATATCACCTAGCCTGGTGATATAAGGGTGCTGTATTTCAAAAAAAGTTCTACCAGGAAAATGGAAGGCTGCTAGCTACAATTTAAGATCTTTTGCAACTTTAGGTGTAATTATCTTACAAACATCACTCATTTGTTTTAGACGCCACTAAGCCTGACTAGAGTGCAGGTAGAAATATGGCCTATTAACGGGCTATAAGTACCTGTAGGCCAGTCTTCCCTTAACCCACAAGCCCCTCCATTAACCCCAGCACACACCCCGTTCACGTTCGATTTGAATGACGCACATTGGCGCACTGCAAAAAGTGCAAAATCAACAGTTAATGATCTGAACAATGTTTACCACCTGTAGCGTCTGGAGGTGGTGTAAATTTCAAATTGCCAGCGCCGGCAAACAGAAGTGGTGTAAGCTACTAATTTCCCATTTTCACCTCTCGTTTCGAGCCGAGGTGGCAGGTGGCGGCTAGTGACTGGTGGCAACAAAACCGAAAGAAGACAAAAAACTATTAAACCGCAAGTTTGCGGCTGAAATAAATGACAGTATTTTTGAGCATTTTATGTGTCGTTTATGATATTAAATTACCTTTTGCTGACACGCCTGTCCAAAATGCAATTAAATGCAAACTGGCATTTTAATAAACTCGCATTTGATTAACCAATCACCGGACGAAAGTCAAATTGCTCCAAATCGTTTGTCATGCGCTTCGAATTGCTGGCTAAAATACAAAAAAAATAAATATAGCCAAGAAATTCCAAGCTGAGCCTGCGTAACTGTCAAATGTTGTAAAAAATCAATAACACAAATGTTAACATGCTCACAATGCTAAAAACGCAGTCTGAGAGCCTGGCACAAGTACAACAAAAAAGTATACACAAGTCAAAAAAACAGTAGAAACAAGTTTAGCAGCCAATAAAGTTGGCTAAACAAAAAAATGAAATGCCTAACAACGGTTTAGGCCAGCTCGGCTTGGGCCAATCGCTGCGAGAGATAAAGCATTTGACACTTTTGGTTAATAAAAGTTGCTAATGAGTGCGAGCAACTCGCCGATTCCGAGATGTTGATTTAGTTTTTATTTGTTTTCTTGTTCAAGCCAGCCAATAGGAGAGCATTATGGACATTTTTGGAGTGGGGTGAGAGGTGGAGCAGTTACACTAATTGTGAATAAATCAATTAATAGGTAATAAGGCTTTATTTTTAAGCCCAACTCCTTCTAGAGTGAAAGCTCGTTAAGTAAGACTATACCGACTATTGACACTCACGATCCAACCATTCATAGAACCAAAAATGACAAAAAGATATAGCCACATCTTGCTGCTCCATTGAATATTGGCTAAAATGAAGTGCGCTCATAAATATTTATTAGCCATTGCTAAACTAGGCACTAAGTAGTCGATAATTTAAGCGGACCAGCGTCGGAGACATGAAAATTGTTTAGGCCATGTCCACTAGCCATTTGGCCGATTTGGCTGCTGAATGAAAAGTGTAAATTGTCGCTGAAGCCACTGTCGGTGGCAGGGAGCGAGGGAAGTACATACGGCTCCTCCACCAAGTGGAGTACACGGATTGGAGTTGAGCCGAACTTAAGCGCCAGTTGGGGACGACATTAATTTATGTTCAGCAAACATTTTGCCTGCCATTTAAGCGACAAAGACAAAGTAGCCTCGCCTGCCGGCTCTGCACTACCACCGATTGTGTTCGAGCCGGAACGTGTCGGGATTATTAATTAGCCAGCCATGGTGCACAACATCGGGCCGCATTCCCCACGAGGAGATGAGAACGCAATCGAGGGCACTTGATGATCTCAGCTGTGGGAATTTTCGTGTTGGGTTAGGTCAGCTTTCTGTGTCAAAAAGAGTTTGCATTTTTAAGATCTCTCAAAATTCTATCAGCTACAAGTATATTTGCCAAATCCCCAAAGCATAATTAAATAGTAACACGAAACATTTTGGCCACCCATGGAGCTCCAAGACCGACAATCCTCCACTAATTGGCGGCTGAGTTTTCATGCCCATTAAGCGTAAACTGTCAGCCACCGAAGCGACGGATTATCATACGAAAACGACTACAAATTGCACCAAATAACAAAGCCAAAACCCCAACAATTTCGATCCCAAAACAGTCAACTGTGAGTGGGGTTTCATTAGCCGCGCTCGAAGCGTGAAAACGTGATAAAATTTCGGTTTTAGTCCACTGGCCATAACTAAATCACGGATCGCAATTTGCGAATTGCAGCCAGTCAGTCGGTAGTTTCATTTACAGATCTTTTAGCCATTTTTTTGGTTTTTGGGTAAGCCAATTACAAGCGACATGAACATAAATAAAATTTTATTAAGTGCTAATTTCTGTTTGAATCTCGAAATGGGCAAACATCGATTCCACAGGGGCGATAAGTCAATTAGCCGGCAGGCAGGTAGACACTCTGACGGAATAACTGACATTTGCTGCAGATTGGCGCCTTGGATAACACTGATGGAGTTCAGCCTATAGGCTTGGCAATAAAGTATTACATTTATTATAGAAACAAAAGCAAACTAAGAAACATTTATTTACTATTTTCCAAACTTGTACAAAGCCACAATGGCCACTGCCAGAAGTAACACAACAAAGCCCAGGCTGCCAAAGAGAGCCAAGGACTTGGAGATTTCTCTAGCCTTCGAGGTTTCCAAATTCTGGTTGGGGGATTCCTCCTCCATTCCTGGCATTATTACCCTGAAAGTCAACTGAGACAACTCCGAGATCTCAGAGCCATTTCGATGTGAGACGTTCCGACGTCTCCGCAATCCCGCCGATGGTTGGCAGTCCTGGGCAGTGACCTGGCAGTCTTCATGCTCCAAGCAGCCGGTTATTCTCATTGATATTACCAGGACCTCTCCACTTCGCATTCCCGGAAACATGACCGCCTTGAAGTGAAGTCTCTGCCCGAGGGGCGGTTCCAATATGGGGGCATGGGCACAAATGGCCTGCATTGCGGGATTCAGGCAGCCCCTCGAACTGACCAGTTGGACATTGTTGATCACTTCCCCGCCAGAATTAATCCTCTGCAGCTGGACGTCACTTAGTTTGGTGTAGTTCCAGCCATCTCCTGCCAGGACATGAGCTCTAAGTAGGAGATCCTCGCCCAGCTGAACTGCTCCATTCGATTCCAGATGCCGGGTATAACCAGTACTGCCTTTTCTAAGCAGCTCCACATGGGTTCGAAAGGGATTTTGATTGCCTCCATGGGCATAGCTGCCCACACTGCGGGATTGCCTAAAAAATAAAGAAATAAAGTTGAAGTTAATTTAACTAAAAATTAATGAATAAAGTCTTCTTACACATCATTGGCCACACCCATTTTCAAGGCATGGGTTTTGACGGCTACACGCTCTTGGGATTTGCAATGTAGAGTCAAAATAGAGTCCCCACTGGTCCTCAAGCCCCTAATGGCGGGAAAACGCAGTCGCAGGCAAAGATCCTGTCCACAGGAACGGACCCCACATCGTTCGAAGTTCTCGCCAGAAATATCCAAGAAAAGGAAACTCCGTGACAGTTTCAGCTCACAGCGCTTGTCCTGGATATCGTCGTTATCCTGATCCACAGATGGAGCAGCTCCCAAGAAACTATCCAACTTCAAAACGGCACGAAAGTATCCCGAGTTCAAGCAACGCATGTCCTTTAAACGGAGTCTGAGCTGGTTTTGGTCCTGGCTAACCTCACTGGGTGGCAAATAGACAGGAGCTGGTGTCGAGGGTCTTTGGGTAATCACTGGAACAGCCACTGGGGCATGGTAATCGTATCCTGGAGATTGTATAGGTTCAAACGCTTCTCCAGGGTCTTCAACGATAATCGGTCTTGGTGTAGTAGTTGTGGTGGGAATAGAGGTGGCAAGGATACCTCCGGCAGGAGGTTGCGGATAATAGTAGGCGGGGTAGGTCTCTTCACTGCACAGACAAGAAAGGACTTAACATTTTTCTAACAAGGTTGCCTACATCTTTATTACTAACCTGGGCTTGGGACTCTCATAGTTTGGACGCTCTTCCAAAGCCGGTGGCAGATAGTTCTGGCTTAGAGGTATGAAATTACCATGACCACTTCCTTGAAACTTTACACTGCGATTTTCGATGATCTCCGGCAAACTGAATTCTGTGGTGGATACGGGGGCCACTGGTGAAGGAGTCACAGGATTCGGGGGTACAGGCGGAGGTCCATAAAGGCCCGGTGGAGAGAGACCCAGTTGAAATGGAACCTGTCCATGAAGATAGTTTCCCAATTTTTCCACTGGCGCAGCAAAAAAGTGTGCCACATCCGCCCAAGATCCTTGGACTATAAGTAATTCCACAAGGCAGATGTAAAGCCCTAGAGACGTCCACTTGGTTGACATTTTGGAGTAAAACTGATGCGGCCCTAAGTGATCGATACTTTTATAAGCTTCAGGAGGCGTGACGGGGGTGACCTGGATTGTTTTCATATTCTTGGAGTACTTTCCCAGCTATCACTTTTAATGGTCGAAATATTTTGGGGGACACCACACACGATTTTGATGTCCAAGCAGGGGACTTTCCTTGGTCACGAATGCGTTGAGTGGGTCAGGTTATGTAAAACTAATTGTTAGTGATCTCCGGGGAATTAGCCACCAAAGTCGGTTCCATCTTCGATTCACTGGCCGATCCACCACCGGCCGTACCACAAATCATTTGGCCATTTGACATCTCGCTTGTGGACAACTAATGACAACAGCTGCGACAGAGCAACATTTTGGCCATATTGCGGATTTCTGATTTCTGATCGCTGTTAGCCAGAAGCCAATCAAACCTAACGAGCCGACAATCTGTCCGTTAATGTTTCCATTTTGGGCACCACAGGCTAGCAGTCATTGATGAGCGTTATAATGAAAAAGTAAACAAAGGAAAATATTTAATGAAAATTGTCTAAAAATATGAGTTTTTCATAACTATATGGTTCATATACTTTAGTGATTGGAGGCTATCCTTAATCCTTAGAATATATTTTTTTTTTTAAATATTTAATCTATTTTTTGTTGTGTATAAATTATGAAACGTGGGAAGAGTTCTTTCAATCTGATTTCAGAGTTCATTCACTAGCTATATGAGATCCAATTATGGTCGCCTATAAGCTAAACATGACATTTATATATCGAGCCAATTATTTTAAAATGTAATTGTCCGACAGGTTTTTCCTGTAGCTCTTAGATTTCCCAAACTATGTGTCATTAATTGATTTAACAAGACACTCTAGGTTACACATCGCGGGGGATCCGACAAAAAAGTATAACTGGAAACTATTACTTAAGTCTAGCCACCTCTTGCCATACTTATAAGCCATTTCCCCCAGGATCTCGAACGATCTCGCCTCCCAAACATGCCCGGCACCTCGTATCCCACGAATAATGATAATTTCAGCAACGGATTCCCGATGGCCACCACACAAAGTGAACGACTGCTTCAGGCCCAGAATCGAAGGAAGTTCAGTTTTCCCGCCACCCTCCATTCAGCCTCCTTGTTGGAAGTGGGCGGAGGCCAGCGGGAGACGACAAGGCGGAGGCTAAGCAATGTCAGCGATGTGGTCACCCGGAAGTTGTCCTACACGATTGGCTGGAAGGCGGCGCAGATTCCAGCACAAGACATCATTACACAGGTATAGTGATAATATCCTGATAACTTTTCATGGGGTTTTAACATATTTATTTTGAATCAAGGGTCGTTGTCTCTGCGGTCACTACATAAAGCGACGCTTGAGAAGATCGGGGCTGTTTAATAAAAAACTGGGTCTCCAGCGGATTCGAAGCATTCTTGGATCAACTTCCATGGGCATTGTAAGAGATGTCTTTCCAGCCGTTCAAGTGGTAAGTTTTCTTTTAAAGAATAATGTATTAACTATTAAAAAAATGGTTCACAAAAAAGAAATGAAAATGGATGCATCAAAACTTATAGGGCCCTTATAGGAGAATCCTGCATTTCCAAGGGGATCCATTAGAAAAATTTGAAAAATATGGTTGAAAATTTTTGTTGCCAGGTTTTGATGCAGAATTGTGGAGAATCCTTCCAGAAATCGTTTAAGGCATTCCTCTCAAGGATCGAATGAAAATCGGCCAAGATATGGACATGGTTAGGGGCCTATAGGAGAATCTTGGATTTTCCAAGAGGATCCATCAGAAAAATTTGAAAAATATGGATGCAGAATTGTGGAGAATCCTTCCAGAAATCGTTTAAGGCATTCCTCTCAAGGATCGGATGAAAATCGGCCAAGTTATGGACATGGTTAGGGGCCTTATAGGAGAATCCTGGATTTTCCAAGGGGATCCATCAAAAAAATTTGAAAAATATGGTTGCAAATTTTTGTTGCCAGCTTTTGATGCAGAATTGTGGAGAATCCTTCCAAAAACCGTTTAAGGCATTCCTCTCAAGGATCGGATGAAAATCGGCTAAGAAATGGACATGGTTAGGGGCCTTATAGGAGAATCCTGGGTTTTCCAAGGGGATCCATCAGAAAAATTTGAAAAATATGGTTGAAAAATTTTGTTGCCAGGTTTTGATGCAGAAATGTGGAGAATCGTTCCAGAAATGGATTAAGGTATTGCTCTCAAGGATCGGATGAAAATTGGCTAAGAAATGGACATGGTTAGGGGCCTTATAGGAGAATCCTGGGTTTTCCAAGGGGATCCATCAGAAAAATTTGAAAAATATGGTTGAAAAATTTTGTTGCCAGGTTTGATGCAGAATTGTGGAGAATCGTTCCAGAAATCGTTTAAGGTATTCCTTTTGAGGATCGGATAAAAATTGACTAAGATATGGACATGGTTAGGGGCTCTATATGAGAATTCTGGATTTTCCAAGGGGATCCATCAGAAAAATTTGAAAAATATGGTTGAACAATTTTGTTCCCAGGTTTTGATTGAGGAGAATTGAGGAGGAGAGAAGAATTGCAGAATTGAGGAGAATCGTTCCGGAAATCGATTAAGGTATATCTCTCAAGGATCGTATGAAAATTGGCTAAGATATGGACATGTTTAGGGACCTTTTATGAGAGTCCTGAATTTTCCAAGGGGATCCATCAGAAAAATCGACTTTATCTGAAAGAAGGCTTCCTTATAACTTAATCCTTAGGCGTAACCTGAACTTTATTTTGTAGCTAGGCGATGAACTGGAACGTATGCATCCGCGGGTCTACAATGGAGTTGCTCGTCAGATCTGCCGCAATCCTGGCGGAGAGTTCAATACCCCGGATGCCGTGAGTCTTTTGCTGGGTGCCGTCGGTCGAGAGCTCTTCCGGATGGAGATAACCTGGAGCAAGGTTATATCGCTGTTTGCCATAGCCGGTGGCCTATCCGTCGATTGTGTGCGCCAGGGGCATCCGGAGTACCTGCCAAAGCTAATGGAGAGTGTTTCCGAGGTGATCGAAGATGAGCTGGTGCCTTGGATCAATGAAAACGGTGGATGGGTAAGTGGATTTAGCAAATCTACTTAATGATACATCCAATAATACTTAACCTTTGCAGAGTGGCATAAATACCCATGTTCTCCCCACCTCCAATAGCCTGAATCCCTTGGAATGGACAACTCTAGTAATTGGTGTTGTATTTGGCTTGATCCTATTTTTTATGATCTTGCGTTTTATAATAAGCACGATAGTACCGAAAATATACCAACGATTTACCAACTGAATTCAAGAGTTTAATTTAATTAATCGCCAAAAAACTGGCTACGATTATAGGAAGCTTTTATCAAAGCTTTCGAATAATTAATTTAGGCTTTGAATAAAAGTTTGTAGAAAAAAAAACAAGCAAAGTGATCTTCAGTTGTCTGATAGTGACTAGATTACATTTTATAGGCGAATCAGTCTCTTCTTCACATAATCTTTATCTCCAAGTAATTTTGATTCCTTTAGCAATCAAATTAGTAGCACAATCCCTTGGACTCACCAATTGAATATGTCTTAAAATCGTTTTATTTTAAACTTTGAGAGGGAAATCTTCTACGGACTTGGTTAGAATCCAAATAAATGCAACAATTATCTTTTCTTCGGTACAGAATCGGGGATCTTTATACTAAAACACACGTCACAATCTCGTCTTACAACTTTCCAGTAAGCTCGGGCACAGCCTTGAAAAGATCGGCCACGATGCCAATGTCGGCCACTTGGAAGATGGGAGCCTCGGGATCCTTGTTGATGGCCACAATGGTCTTCGAATCCTTCATGCCTGCCAGATGCTGGATGGCACCAGAGATACCAACAGCGATGTAGAGTTCAGGGGCAACAATTTTACCAGTCTGACCGATCTGCAGGTCGTTGGGAACGAAGCCAGCATCGACGGCAGCGCGGGAGGCTCCCACAGCAGCTCCAAACTTATCGGCCAGATCGTACAACAGCTTGAAGTTGTCGCCAGACTTCAGACCCCTGCCTCCGGAGATGATAACCTTGGCGCCAGTCAGCTCTGGGCGGTCGGACTTGGTCAGCTCCTGGGAAACGAACTCAGACAGACTGCTGGCGTAATCTCCAGCGGGAGCCTGCTCCACAGCTCCACTTCCGCCTGTAGCAGCTGCAGGAGGAAAGTTGGTGCCTCGCACTGTAATAACCTTCACGGCATCTTTGGACTTCAGTGTGAGGATGGCATTGCCGGCGTAGATAGTGCGCACGAAGGTGTCCTCCGACTTGACATCAATGATCTCGGAAATGGGAGACACATCCAGTTTAGCAGCAACACGGGGCAGCACATTCTTTCCAAAAGCAGACGCTCCGGCAAGGATGTGGGTGAATTTGAACTGAGATTGGGCTGCCAGGACCAGAGGGGTCACAGATTCGGCGGTCAGTCCCTTGAAGGCGGCATTTTCAGCCACCAGAACCTTGGTCACTCCCTCAACCTTGGCCACAGCTTCCGAGGCCTGCAATGAAATGAAAAATATAGTGTTATGCAAACCTTTTGATAAAGAGAGAATAATAATTGGCTAGGGATTAGGGTGGTTAATTGTGAAATCTCAAAGTAACCCAATTAAGTGTTTACATAACAATTAACCGGCTAATTGTTAAAGTTTTTATACGAATTTTTAAGCATTTCTATCAAGAATTAAAAAACAAACTTTTTGTTTTTAAAATAAATTTTTTTTGGCTGTTTAAAACATATATAGGACCACCCTTGTCCTCTACTAGGGTATGGAGAGACTTACGGGTCCGCACTTGGTGCCTGCCACCAGAACTGTGACGTCACCACCGATCTTCTTGGCCGCAGAGATGGTGTTCAGGGTGATTGGGTTAAGGGCCTCGTTGTTGTGCTCAGCTACCACCAGAGTGCTCTTGCATCGTTGCAGCTGAAATGGTAGAATTATTAGATTTAGTTGGCCAATTTTAATTCGCCAGCGCGTGCGCTTTAAGCCATTATTTTTATTATACTTACAAAGCTGCTGCGCATTAGGTTACGGGTGTTGCTGGCGAACATATTGTACAATTAGAGAATAAAGGAGCTGCTAAAGGGACGTAAAAGTTTATTATTATTTTATTATTGTCAATTAATAGAAGCTCTTACCTCGGCAAAAAAAAATCACAGAAAGTCCAAAGGTTGGACTCAACGGCGGGAACAGCTGTTTTACGTTAACACTTTACCACACTATTTCAGGGCTGGAAACACGTTGTCTGTGGTGTTGGAAAACAGATAAAAATGAGTGTTGAAAAATATCCAAAGTAAGCGTTTCTTTTTTTCATACAATACATTTCTCCAAAATATAAACACAATTTTATAAACAGATATATACAAATTAGATTGGCCGAAAAACAAATTACAAATTTCAAGCAATAATGAAGACGATACCCGACCGGTGAGTTTTGGCTGCCGAGCCTCCGCATTGAACTTACTGACCTCTTTGGGTAATTTCAGATGGCTGGAATATAGTCCGATCGGAGAACGTGTTCCGGGGACTCGATTCATAGCCTTCAAGGTGCCGCTACGTGAGGTAAGTTGACCGAAAGCCCTCCACTGCACTCCTAAATGGCCAAATGGACAAAAACCGGTTGCCAGGAGACCTCCAATTGATGGATGCGTCCCTTTGGAAGGACCACCAACCTGGCGAGGCCTCTAAAAATAAATAACAACGGACGGGCGAAATTTGTATATTGTAATTATGCATAAAAGTGGCAACTGGAACAACATGCGGCAAAGGACCCCACATGAATATTAAATTAAATTGTTTTTGCTTAATTAAATAACGCCATGGAGCTGGCAGGGAGACCCTACCTTTATTAATTGCCTCGCCGCCGGGCAGTTCGCATAAATTGAGCAATTTTTAGCATGTAATGTAATGCCGGCCTGTATTTGCCTTCCATATCTTCCATCTGCAGCATGTCAGCGCCAAAGTCAGCCAGGAGAAGCTGCGCCTGGCGCCCGAGTCGCTTATGGAGGCTGTTCCCGACCTGGGACTCATCATCGATCTGACCAACACGAGTCGTTACTATAACCCGGAATCGTTCACCTCCAACGATGTGGAGCATAAAAAGCTGATGATTCCTGGCAAGGAAACTCCATCCAAGGACTTGGCAGAAAAGTAATTAGAATACTACTAAAATCTAAATCATCAATTTTAATTATTATTAATTCTAAACATTTTTTAAAAGGTAAAACATATTTCTATATAGTTTTGAAACATCTACTCCTATTTACAAATAGTTTATGATTTAAAATGTTCCATATAACAAAATATTCTACAGTTTTAAGAAACCGTGAAAACTATTTGGTTTAAATACTGAAATTTATTTATTTTCTGCTTGTTCCATTACAGATTTTGTCGTCTTGTGGCCAATTTTCTCGAAGACAATGCGGATAATGGTAAGTGCTTTAAAACATCCCACACATATTGGCCTTTGAGCCATGGAGCCGTGGGAAACGTTCCATGGCTTTCCCGTCAAATATGCAGATGCAGATGCATATCTGTCAACACAATTAGAGCCACAAAATATGCAAACAAATCATATCAAACGGGCACCCGCAATTACCACGTATCCTAATCCCAGGCTGCACTGCCTCCAAGATTCCTATCAGTCGGCAAGCGCACAGCAAACATGGCCAGAGCGGTGAAATGTGCTGGCTGCGGTGCTGCTGGCAGCCATCCAAGTGCCTGAAAAGAGAAATACTCTATTTAACCCTTTAGCAGCCGACTGGCGCACCGATGTGGGCGCACACACACACTCAATCAGCCAAGTCAGTCAGTTGGGCGGCCTTTGAGTCTGTCTGTCTGCCAGTCAGGAGCCGGGCAAACAAATCACTTACGAGGCTTAGTCATGTCGAGAGTGGGGAAAAGGCATTTCCAATTATGCGCCAAGGCATGCGCAGCCAGCTCCAAGCCGCTTTTCATTTATGTTTTCATAATTGAGAGAATTTCCAGATGCTTTTCTACACAGAGAAAATCGTAAAGTCCCCTTAAAAAGGGGTATATCTGGTTTAATTTGTTTTAAACTCTATCAGCTTATTATTTATTAATATTTTATATCTTTTCTTTATTTGCTGTACAGATTTTAATGTGAATATCTAAATATTATTGAAAGTATGCTAATGAACACTAAGTATCTCTTTAGGGTATCCAAACCCCAACTGGTTGAGTTCATAATTTTTGTGACCGTGGGCGTGAGTAAGCTCTGTTCGAAGGCACCTTCCTTCTGCGATAATGTATGTGCGAACCGATTTGCCTCACAATATGCAAAATTGCCAACTAGAATATCTTGTCCGATACGAATCCGTTTTAGGGATTAATTAAAACACGATCTGGCGCCAAGAAAACTCGCGTCAAGCACAACAATAAATAAATACGCAAAGCCTGCCAACATATTTACAAGGAAACGAATCACGAAAATAAGTCAAGTCCGAGGTGGTCCCAACTTGTCAACGGCCAATGAGGCAGACGAGGTAAAAACAATCCAGGTGGAGTCGTTGTTTTGGCACAGTGGGATCTTCAAAAACTAAAGTCTATTTTAAAAGAAGAGTTGAAAGGAAAGGATAACTGAGGAGTATCTTGAAAACATCTGGAATTATTTAAAATTGAGAGACTAAAAGTAATTGTAATACAGTGGAAATGGCCAGAATTTAAACTATTTGACTAAAACCTAACTACAAAAACTAAAACCTATTTAAAAAGAGTGATATTTTGATTATGGAAAAACATCTTAGAATCATCAGTGTTTAATTTTATATTTATTTTTAGTTTAATAATAAATGTAAACAGTTTAAGTTTAGTTTAATAATACCAATCACTTTAAGTCTACTAAGGATAAACACATTTGAAACCACTGTATCATATCAAAGAGGATGCGCAGCGCGGTCTCGTAATTTAATTTCGTTTCTCGTTTTGCCTGTAAGTTGGCTTAAAAGCCCCCAAACATGACGTACTGGCTGACTGGCAGCTTCACCGGCTGCCAATATGACCAAAACAAGCGGGCCAAGAGCTAAGCCAGCACCCCCATAGTGCACAAAGCCAGAGCCTGGGCCACAGCGACCTGGTGGGTTGTCTGAATGTCTGAGTGCCGGGCACCCTCCCCCCCAAAGATCCCTCCCGCTGACATGTTTTTGTGAAATTTATAGCCAATGTTATTATTGGCAGAGCGCGCTGTTTTCTAGATTTAGCTCAGGTCGCTTCTGCTTTTATGCCAAATTGCCAGGCCGGTTTTTGCTGTTGCGGTCTCGCTGCGTGGGTGTTGCCAATGGGGCGTGGAGCGGCAAAGGGGGAGCCTTAGCCGCGGGGTTTGGGTCGCGGAGGACATTCCTGTGGCCGTGTTTGCAATGAAATTTGTAGCAATTTGCCGCAACATGTGGCACTGGCCGAAGTCTGGTGAGCATTGCTCCCCAAAATGGCACCGAAATCATCCTCATCCTCCAACCGTTTGCCCGATTTTAAGGTAAAGCTCAAGAAAACCTATTACCATTTTCAGATAAACTGATCGGAGTTCACTGCACCCACGGCGTTAATCGAACTGGATATCTTATTTGCTACTTTATGATCACCAAAATGAACAAATCGCCGTCGGAGTCAATTGAGAGTGCGTAGGACCCTGGATTTGATCCTTCCCAAACATAAAGTGTAATCAATTCCCTACCCTATATATTCATCTGCAGCTTTCGCTGCGGCCCGCGGCCACGAGATTGAACGCCAGAACTACATGAGCTCGCTGAGAAAGCTATCGGGCAAGGAGCCCAAAAAGGATCGCTCCACCTCCAAGGAGACCAGTGTGGAGAGCGACTACATCGACGATCATTACGATAACGGCCATAAAAGTCATCATTCGCGCTATGAGTCCAACGACAGGAGTCACTATCAGAATAGGAACTACCAAAACTACCAAAATTACCAAAGGGGCCGAGTCTACAACCAACGATATAATTCAAGTAAGTACTTAAGCCATTAATGTGATCCAGGGAGGGGAAAGAGAAAATACACCATAACCCTTAGATTAGGATTCGCTAGATATATAACTTTGTTATAAAAATATAATGTGATTGAATTTTAGGAGGTAACTACTACAATGGTTCTTACCAGAATAACTGGCGGGGCAGAAGAGGATATCCTTCTAATGGGGACAACCAAAATCGCTATTATCCAAGAGACAACCACTATTATAATAATAATTATAATAATCGCTACGTGGGTAACAACAGGGATTACAACAGTGGGGGGGATTGGCGAAACTCTAGGAGGACTCCGTATCACAAACCTTATTACCAAAACAATGGCTGGTCTCAGCAGAAGAACTGGCGACAGGATCGCGACGATCGCCAGCAATATCATCGATCCAGCAATAGCTCCAACCAACGCTCCTGGAGGGACTATAGTCGCGATTATTCCAAACGGGATCGCGATCACTATGATCGGGATGATTCCAAAAGAAGCTACCGAGAGAAGAGCTACTACAAGGAAGATAGTGACTAGATTATAATAATATTCTACAATATATGTCTTCAATATAATCTTTTTACAATGTAAAATCCCCGAACAATGTTTTAATAAATTTCCAATGACAGTTTGGCCAATTTGTAAATTATTGTTAATTACAGGCAACGGCTGGAGCGACAATTAAAATTCATTTACGACACGATCGAGTTAAGGCCGCCGGGTAATGGTAGTTAACAAGCAGTCGGCACAGATCGTGTGAAGATACAATAAAAGCCGCGAAAAATTTGCATCTCGATAAGCGAGGAGAGCGCGTGAAATTCCTGGAAATTAGTGATCATGATGGCCAGGCCGAGGCGGTGCCAGCGGCTCAGCTCCTGTGTCAAAACAAATGCCAGGATGGGCTGGCATCTACAGTGGTTTAAGGATCTACCTCAATCAAAATGGCAGCTAAAGTTCAAATTTAAGTACAATTATAGTTTGATTATTTTTTTTCTTTCGATTTTATTAAAATTTTAGTTACTTATTATTTTTTTTTTTTAATTTTTAGTTAAGACTAACCAAGGTACATGCATTCTGGCCAAAACCTGTCAGATTGACGGCTCCTGATCGTTTCATTATTTCGTCATGGTGGTCAAATGTCAACTTATTAGCATAAATGCTGCTGCTGTCGCCTCCGCCCATCGAATTTTATATATATTTTTGTATGTTGTATACCCCCTCGGGTTCCGATCGGCGCTTTATCTTTGCGAAATCTTATCTGGGCCGCACGATCAACGATTGTCATTATGGACCGGGGTCCGGGTCCGGCTCCGGCTCTGAGTCCGAGGCTCCGACAGCGACAAATCGTTGGCCATTACAATGGTTGGCTGGCCAGGAGCAGGACCTGCAAGAGGGAGCAAGGGATCGAATCGATCGACTGGGATCCGATCCGATCTGATCTGACTGCCCGATAAACGCCTGTTGTGTGTGGCATGTGGCGTAAAGTTGTTTGTTGCGCTTAATTGGACAGCGTTTCATTTCGCGGTTTTTTTTTTTGCTTCTACCTGTTTGCTTCCTTTATTCGCTACTTATTTTTAGCATCTGATTGACCCAAAGACAAGTCCAACTGGCATCCAGGGAAAGTGCCAGCCATAGCTTCAGGAGATGCTCGTTTGAGTGAAGGATATTTGGGACTACAAAGTTTGAGTTCATTTTATAACCTATATGGATAAGTATTGGATGAAATGAATAAGTATTATTATTTAAGGATTCCCCCCTATTTCAAAGGTTATGCCGACAATTCCATAAATCCCTGAATCAGCCAAAAAACGGCCAATTGTCAGTTGCGTGCGGTTAAAGTATCTTATTTTTTTCAGCAACAGACACACATTTTTTCGACTCATATTTTTTGTTTAGTTTATGACCGCAAACGACGACGACGACGACTGGAAAGTGTGGCCAATTTCCAGCGACTGTGCCGGTCTGGGGGCCCATTTATCTTAGCATAACTTGGAGCGCGATAATTGCATTCCATGCGGCATTGGAATCGGCCAAGTTGCATTGGCCAAGATCGAGGAGCGCGACCGATTCCGATTCCGAGGCCACTTTGAAGTTCGTTGCGAACAATTAGCCATGGCCCATAAATTCCCATCTCATATGTGCGCGGCGAAAAAGGAAGCGAGGCATTGATTTAAATAATAGTGTTTAACTTTGCCACTCCATCCATCCAGCTCAGCCCTGCCGCCTGCAAATCCGTGGCCGAGGCGACAATTACCTGGCCATTTCAATTAGCCGGAGCCAAACAAAAGGTGAGCCTCTCCTGGAGAGAGTCAATCATGGTACTGGTATCAATGCAATGCCAGACCAATCCGGACCAATTGTTATGGGCCAGCTTTTGTCTGGCTCATGTGATTTACGGTGTCGTCCTGTCTGGCTGATAAAGAGGTCTGATGGATTGGGAAAAGTGCATCAATGGGTAAGATGAGGTGATCCAGTGTACTCTTTGTTTTTATTAAGAAAAAGGAACTTTTAAGAATTTACTAAAAATAAACTTTCTAAACAAGGCTTCAAGATAAATACTTGAGGAAATGAAAAGTTAAGTTATAATAATTCAAAAGTCTTGTAAGTTTTTTAACCTTTACAAAGCCTTTCTTTAAATTGAGAATATTGTCCATCCATAAACATGGTCCATCTCCTAAGGATATTCATCACACCCTTGAGCCTCTTGGACCATCAATAAAATCGATACGTTGATATGCAGTTCGGTGAAGTCCAGCCCACTTGCAATTGAAACGCAATTCAGGGGATTCCTGCAACACTTACCATTTATCGCCGTACGCAATCTTAATTAAAAGCCGCCCCCAGATAAAAACAAATGTTTACTTTAAAGCCGATAGGGATCGGATCGAACAATCAGCCATTGCGGTCCCGCAAAATTGATTCAGTTCGATTCGATTCGTGTTCGCGTTGAAAACTCACGAATCTGGGCAATTAAAGCCGCCGCTGCTTCCACCGAAGGGCGAGAGTTTATCGCCGATTCTCTGTATGCGATATGGATGCAAGGCACGCACATGACCCTCCCAATCATTAAAAGGACTCAAAACTGGGATACAAACTGGTTGAAACTACAGTGTCTGAAATGTATGACACAGGGAGGGTAAAAATAAGGCGAGAAAACATGGGTTTTTTGGTAAAGTTAATGGCACAATTTTAAATTTTAAGATTAATATAATTTAAGTTAAGAAAATAAAAAAATAAAACTGTATAAAATCTTTTTCCGTGCAGCTATAAAGGCCATCACTTTGAGATACCAAGAAAACCCAGATCTGGACCTCCCACTGAGTGCATTCTTGGCCATCTTCTTATCCTTGGCTATCGCATTATCCTTTCCATTTTTTTGTTGTTCGACTTTTGGCGCCGAAGCATAAACTTTATTGTCGCCACATTGCTGTTGCATACTTAATGGCGCCACAGCGACAAAATACACCAAAAATGTGCCAGGCTCGAGTGTCAACGAACTTTAAAACGAGCTCGAATGATGGGAAACTCACCAAACCACCAACCCACCCACACGAAGGACAGTACTTCTCACCCACCGCCCCCAATGGAAATTCCATTTTCGGCAAATATTTGTGCAAGTCAGCAGCAGCTCAGCTCCATTTTGGGACAATTCACCCCTATACTTTTCTAGGACTTGTCCTTATTTTTTCGTTATCATTCGGACTGCATACAATGGGCTGGGCAAATTGCTTAGAGACTTGGCTGGCAAATGTTTTGGAAATATCTCAAGTGCTATTTATTTTGAAGGGGTCCAAAACCACAGGGTGGTTGGTTTACATCTTGGGCTTAGCTGGGGGGTGTCGCTGGGTAGATGGGTTTTATGTCTAACGCCTCGAGCTGCAAGGAAATTTTTCAAGATAAGCTCTGCAATAAAATTCTAAACACTAGCATTACCTGTGGGTATTACTCCCCTATAACCCAAAATCTTGACAACACATTTATTGGTTATTTTTATGATTATTTATTTTGAGGTTCAAAATTTCCAAGCCAGAAGCTCAATTAAAAAACTTATCGAAGCCAGACTGTAGCCCAAAGCCAAGGCAATCGCTGTCGTTAGAAAGTGGTTCAAGCCCAAGGGCTTTGCCTCCAGGTGCTCCGTCACTGTGTAGTTCAAGTATCCTTGACTCACAGCCTCCCGGTACGAATCGAATTGCATTTTATCCAACAGTCCTGACTCGAAACCATTATACAGAGATCTGCTTAGATGATGTTTCAAGAACCAAGTATTCCTCATGGGAAACCCGGCAAACAAAAAGCAGAAATCGATTTGAATCCGTCGGAATTTTGGATGTCTCAGATAGTGTTGAGCATATTCAAACATTCCCCAGCGATCGGGAAACAGAACATAGGCGTAGTTTTGATCCAGATTATTGCGATGTTTGACTAAAGTTTCCGATGGAACAGTCTTAACTACAGACCGAAGGATATCCGGCATATAGTGCCTTTCGAACAGGGCCCGATCGTAGGGATCAATGAGGACGGGAATACGTCTTTCCGCCAGTTCTTCGAACGTTGTTATCTCACTTTCAAACACCTCAGAGATCATCATACTTTTAAGCAGTCCCGAGTACTCAGTGGAGTACACAAAACCAGCAATGAACAGAATTCCAAAGAGGATGTATCTCTCACCTCCGAAAATAGTCGCCAGCTTGAAGGCCCCAAACAACAAGGAGTTGAATACTTCCAGAAGTTGTCTGCTAAAGTCCCATCTTCCGATTCTCGCCCTGTGAATCAGGCTCATGAATCCTGCAATCAGGATGACATAAATCGCCAAACAAAGCCAAACACTGGTCTTGAAAGGAGCCGTCAAATATCGATAAAGTAGAAGGGGCTTGGCGTGGGGCACAATCACATTCGCTGCTGCAATTCTAAGCTCATTGGTGACCGTGAAATAAATTGGATTTTTGGACAGAGCATCTGCACACATGTCAACTTTATTAGTTTTAATGGCCAGGGTGCAGTTCTGTGGCGAATCACTTCCTGTGTACACTGGCACAAATGTGGCATTCCTGTATCTGAGGAATGCCAGGGCAAACTTCATATAATAGCCAGTGTGTATTATTTTACCCTCCAAGTTCGTGTAAATAAAGCTGCGAGGAACATTGTTGTAGGCCGCCACTCGTACAGGATAGCGATTCAGATTCCCAAAGGAATCGCGAAAGCCTGCATAGTCCTTTGCAGTGGTGGATCTCAGCCTCAGGTTGGGAAACAGTAGTTTGTCGTACGAACGGCCACTCAAAGTAGAATGAATCAGGATCTTAATGTAGCCCAGTTTAAAGGCAAAGTCTATAAAGTGCTTCCATTTAGTTTCCTCCATTTCGTTGTCGATAACCAGAAGAAAGTCCGACAATTGAAATTGTAGATCAAGTTTTCGGAAGAGTTCGTAGGGTGGTCTGTTTTCCATTATAACGAATAGTTTGTTGTCATCTCCCAAGTGATTTTTTAAGGATTTGGGATTTAGGAATTCACTCGAAGTATAAATAAGATGGCTAATTGATTGCGCAAGTGAGTTATTATTTAATTTATCCCTTTGGTTACAGATATATATGTTTGTGGTAATGAGTAGCTTTTCGTTTAGTTCATTTATAATTTCGATTAAACTGGCATCAGCGTTTAGGAGAAATAATAATGATAGAAACATTATGTAGCAGTTCATCTGAAATATATAAAAGAATTCAATTATTCAAAACAAAAATTAAACAAAAAGAGGATAACCCAATCCTATAAAGTTATATCTACATTTTCCCATCGTTCTCTAAAGCTCCCTGATCTGTTAAGTAATCTTTATTTTTTCAACAACTACGACATCAAGAAGTTTATAAAAAAAGCAAAGCAAAGCTCTGGACACTGTAAGGCAAAGCATACATCACAACATCAATCCGTCACTCAATCAACTTCAACATCAACATCACCGCCTCCCAGACACCCGGCACTTGTCTTCCTCCTCCATCGGAGCTGCTGAATCCTTCGCCTGAATGCCAGGAATCCGCTCATGCGCCTGGCCGTCAACTCGATGACAAAACTGAGGAGGGCCATGAAGTAACCCAGGGCCAGAGCAATTGCCGGCATGACGAAATAATCGAGTCCCAGCGGCATCGCCTCCATGTGCTCAGTGACAAGAAAGTCCACGTAGCCCACGCGAACGGCCTCGAAGTCGGCGTCCAGGGCCAGCTTCCGGGTAAGTCCGCTCTCGAAGGACCAGTACCAGGCGCGACTTAAGTGATATTTAAGGAACCAGCGCTTCCGCATGGGAATCCCAGTGTAGAGAAAGGCAAAATCGATGGGAATCCGAAGAAGCTTTGGATGGCGCAGAAACTGCTGAGCATAATCGTACAGCGCCATCCGATCCGAGAAGAGTACATAGGCATAGTCCTGATCGAAGGAGTTCCGATGCTTTAGAAGGTTTTCAGAGGGGACTGTTTCCATTACGGACCACAGGATTTCCGGCATGTTGTACCTGGCAAACAGTGTCCTGTCGTATGTATCCACCAAGAGGGTTATGTTGCTGGCGGCCAAGGACTCAAAGCTGTCGATCTGCTTCTCGAAAACCTCAGAGATCAGCATACTTTTGAGCAATCCCAAGTATTCCGTGGAGTATACGAATCCAGCTATGAAGAGTACACCAAAGAGTATATATCGCTCCCGGCCATGGATTTCCTTCAGTTGGAAGCCACTGAACAAGAGTGAACTGAAGACCTCGAGTAGGTGCTTGCTAAAGTCCCACTTCCGTCTTCGCATCCAGTGGATGAAACTGAGAAAGCTCACCACCAGAATCACATACGAGCCCAAACAAAGCCACACACTCCACTGGAAGGGGGCCGTTAGATATCGATACGAGTGCAGGGGCTTGGCATGGGTTACCAGGACGTTGGCTGAGGCGATCCTGAATCCGTGAGTCAAAGTAAAGGCCGCAGGATTGGCGGCCAGGGCATCGGTACACAGATCTACTGTTTCGTTTAGCAAAAACAACGTACAGTTTCGAGGTGAGTCGTTGGGGGTGTGAACTGGCAGGAAAGTACCATTTTTCCTGTCCAGAAAGGCTCGGACAAACCGCAGATAAAATCCGGCGTATACCCTCTTTCCCCACTTGTCATTGTAGATCAAAGCTCGAGGTGTGTTATTGTAGACAGCCACTCGCACAGGATATCCGTGAAGGTTGTGGAATGATCCTCGCACGGAGAGATAGTGTACTATGGTAGTTTCTTCTATAAGAACATTAGGAAATAATATTTTGTGATAAAGTTTATCGTTGTGTAGATTATAGAATAGTATGTGGACATAGCCCTCATGAAAGAGGTGCATTACAAAGTCCAACCACTGGTATTCCATCTCCAGATCCCCGGGATTCTCAAGAACTATTACGAATTCCGCCAGTTGGAATTGCAGATCCAGTTCCCGAAAGAACTCGTAGGGCGGTCTATCGTTACTTAAAACAATAAATAGTTTATTTTCAGCTCCCAAATTATATTGCAACTCTGTGGCATTAAAGATTTTAGTATAGATCAGTAGTGAAATAGATTGCATTTGATGAAGATATTTTGATTCGAAAGATACAAGTCTGTCAGATTGATTGCAGAATAAAATATTCGTGGTAATAAGCAGGATTTTGTTGAGTTCTTGAAGGACATTGGTTAGACTATGAGCTTTCATAAAGTAAATAGTAACAAATAGAAGATGCAGTAAGAGTTTGTTAGGTTTGAAGAGAAGCATCTGAAAGATAGATGGATTATAAAGATTCTGAAAGTAAGAGTTAGAGCTAGAAGATGAATGAAGAGATGGATGCTAGGTGAAAATTGGAAGTTGTTTTCTTTGGTAATTGTTGTTTTCCAAAACCGAATTACAGTCACACCCAAAATCTTACATCTGATCCGAGATAATTTATGTATGGTCACGACCACTTCCGCCTTTGTCCAATTCTTTTCGCAGTCTCGAGCTCAATTAGCACCGACAATAGATATGAATATACATAGATGGGAATGCGAATGGGAATGGGAATTTGTCTAATCGATTGATCAACTCATAAATATTCCATTCCACCTGATTGATTCCGGGGCAATTAACACTCCAACACGATCCCACCCACGCATCCTCCAGCGGCGGCGGCAATTGGGGCACTTTATACTGATTACATATATATTTAGCTTATCCATTCTCATGCGCGTGCAAAATCGGGGCTGATCGTGTCAATATTTTCGCGCAGAGACAAAGGAGCAGTCATGGGAAGCGGCTGCCATCACGAAGTCGGCGAGTGAATGGAAAATACCCCGCCAGTCTAAAGCGCCATTTTCTCTTTAACTAAATATAGAGGATCCAATCGAGAGATTATCCAATCAGAACGATGGATATTTTCAAAAGGGGAAGTCCCTCTTAAACTGTGCCCTTTTTGCTTTTGCCTGATTAACGGCTGTCAGTCATTGTACTGGCTAACTACTGTATCTTTGGGATACGCGTGTATCTTTTGAGTTGGGTTTGCAAATTAAGCGCTGAGATGCGTGCTGAATGCCCCACAAAATGCAGAACGGACAGCTGGTGGGAATCAATTTGGAACTGTCTGAGCTTTTGCTTCTTCAGCTCGTTCAGTGGGTCAATGTACGGGTGGTCTTGGCCAAAGTGGTAATTAGCGTTGGATAATAACGGATAACGGTACAAGGTTAAGGACCCGAGAGGTAATCTTTCTTTCGAGTATTATTTGCTTTATATTCTGAGGAGGGTACTTTTTGAGAAGGTTTTAAAATGTGTTATTAAGGTGTCATTTTATTATTTGTTTAAGAAGCTTAATTGATTCTGAAGTATATCAAGTTTGTTTCTTATATTTCTATAGTAATTTTATTCTTCTTAATCTCTTACCTGTACTAACCCCCTAACTAAATTCCATTACCAACTCTGCCGGCATTCCTCAGATGACTCATACGCACAGTAGTCCACCAACCACCATTCCACTTGCAATAAAGAGTAAATAATTAATAAGATAAGGATATCCACTTGCACGAGCTCAAAATCCAGCCCGGGGCTGAAGGTCAAACTAATAATGATTTAGATAATCAAAGAGTGGCTAAGCAGGAGCCACAATCCCGGCCGAGCCTGGCCCGAAGATGACGGCAAGAGTTAAGCTGCAATGCGAAGCACTTGAACCTGTTGCTACCAAAAGAGCCCCAAGGCTTCTGCTGAAAACCAAACAAAACGGCCAGGGAGCGCCGTCGCGGACTCTTCGCTCTGCTCCAGAGCAGACAGTAGAGACGGAGTCCACTGAGATCGCTACATGCAGCCAGACCATAAATACCGAAGGGTTACGCCTATTTTTACACGCAGCCGAGTGCATTTCCTCGTACTTGGGCCATGAGCGCACAAATATTAAAACGATGCGACGTGACAGATTACAAAACGTTTGACACCAGCGCCAAAGCCGCCACAAGATGATGCCCCAAAAAACAAAAACAAAGCCGGGCCTAAGAAGCCATGGGCTCTGGAGATGGAGGGTAAGAAGGAGTTCCATCTGTATCCAAAGCAGAAGATGAGGCCAGATCTGAGGCCGATGCTGCAACTGCAACTGCAAAGGCAGTGAAGCAGCAGCCACTTGCCACACGACGATGACGAAGAGTATCACGCTGCTGCATAGTGGTTTAATATTATTCAAAAAACAAAAGTTATTATTAAAAATAAATGGTTGCAACATAGCTCAGAATAAATGTCTATCTAGATTCTAGAATGTCTAAAAAGTTAGTATCTTATCCTCTTATAATCTATTTAAATTGTAACTTCATTATGGGACACTGTACATTTTTAAAGTCACGAGTCTGAGGCTACCACGGAGTACGGAAAGTAAATTGCCTCCGGGCCATGGCTCCTCGGACTCAACTGGGAACCTGGAACATGGGACTGAAGATGGGCATGGGTATGGTTTTTGGGTGGGGAATGGTAACTGGTGGGAGGGCGCAGATCCGGAGGAGATCCGTGGAGAGCGCGCGTCACAAATTAATTCGCTGATGGCGAGCCAGTTGGGTTTTTATGTTCTTTTTTCTGTTCAGTATAGCTCAGTTCTGGCTAGATCGGCATGATTCCCACAGTAGTCCCCCAAGTTTTATTTTTGTTTTTTTCAGTTTTGTGGAGTGCTCTTGAGGATCTGCTCCTGCTTGTCTAGTTCACCTGCAACTGAGCAGCGGTTAAATGCGGAGGCAGCATCCATGTATCTGTATCTGTGGATGCGACGTCTGCTTCTGCGTCTGCCACTCGTGAGTTATGTCAGTCAGTCAGAAAGACCAGACCACGCCAGACCAGAGCAGACCAGTCCTGACCGGGCCACAACAGACCAGAGGTCCTCTCTTCCACTTGAGCGTGCAATTTTTCTAATTCACATCCCAGAAATCGCAGAATTCCAGATCCCCAGATCCAGTCGGGAGTGGAGTCTCGCAGCAGGCGCATCGCGTAATTGACTTGGAAGTTATGAACCTTTAAATGCGATGAGCCCCTTCGGATGCCGAGTCGAAACCACGGTCATGTAATTTTAATTTTCTCACTTGATTGCCCCGCAAAGTCTGGCAGCGAATTGCCATTCATATGGCCATTGGCTCCTGAACTTGGCCAACTTGGTTAACTGGATTGCCGGCTGCCACATGCAGTTGCATTTTCAACTGAGTTGATTAGTTTGCCAGGTGGGGGCGGTATCAGTTCCACAAAAAATCATCGTTATAATTATAAAGAAGGGGTTCTAAAGGGTCTTTCGGATAATCGGTAAATGTTAAAATAAAAATAAAAATAAAATTTACAAGTTTTCTGAAGCCTTTTTTAAGTGGAAGTGTATTTTTGTGTTAACTACTTTTCTGAATTATATTTGGATACAATTTATATCTAATTATCTCTTTTATTTACATCCTGTTCTGGAAACTGCGCAAAATCTTGTTAGATTCGGTTCCAATCCAACCTCCAACCTGCACACCTGTTCTATCTTTATGTTCAGTGCTAATTACCAGAGTGGGCGATAGGTTTTGGAGTGCAATTCCCATGGCAGTCATTAGACTCTACTAATTAAACGAAGAATGCCAATTGATGAAAAATATTTTTATTTTTGTCGGGATAATAAATGCAAATTTGTCTTTGAAATCCAAAAGATAAAAACAGCGCGAAATTCGTCAGCTCCGAAGATCGTTTTGGTTTTCGACACTCGGCCAGTATTACGAGTATTTTTATTCATATTTATAAGCGAGAAGAGATTTTATAAAATTCACACTAATGCGAAAATTGGTAAGGCAAAGCCCCGAATATTTCATTCAGTGGTTAAGGCACATTTTTCTCTGGGCCAGAGCAGCTGGAGGCTATTGGCTCAATGAATTATGAGCCCGCTTCTTATGAGCGTGCAAACAGCATCCAAAATTGTGGGTGTCATGCGTTGTGGCTTAATGAAAATGTTTGGCTCTAATCTGGCCTCTGGCCTACTCGGTTGTGGTTGTATTTTCACCCGCCTCTGTTTCTCGGTGTTGTAGGTGGGAAACGCAGATTTATTGCGCATCAAATTACAAGAGCTGATCAAAATATTTGTCTTCGACATGCCATCACCACGGTCTGGTGGCATTTTTGGTCTTAATGGCCTTGTAATGAAGCGACTACTAAGCTAATGACTCGGATTGAAGGTGTATCTTACCACCAATTTAGATGTTAACTAGTAAAAGTTATTTTTGGTCAGCCAGATATATTTTTAGAGAGTCTATGTCTTTTGGTATCAGCTGGGAGAATGGTACTTTATTAGCAACTAAGTTGGCGGTGTTTACATGAACGCCAGCCTTTAATTCTAGACTGGAATTCAGATTCACTGGCTTGTAAATATTATTTGAGCAAATACGCGGATTCAAATGATTGTTAGCACTCCCTTTTGTTCATACAGATCCGAGTTATCCAACGTCCAAGATCAACATATAAAACTGACCTACTTGGTTTGCTCGGAAGTGCGCCTCATCTCATCTCCCACGTTTGAATTGGGTTGTATAAGAACGTGGTCAAATATTGTCGGCCCGGCCGGTCGGTCGGTTGGTCGGTCAGTAGGATGGAGGTGGCCCTTTGTTAGTGCGAAAACCGCACGCTAATTAGCAAGGCATTTAGAAACACATTAACCTTTTCGCCTTGGCCTTAACCTTTCGCTAAAACGGCGTTAATTCGCAGCGAAAATATTAAAAACGCAAATCTCGATTTGATGGCACTGATTCACAGAAGTCATAAACTGTCATAAATACAAGCGTTTATAGACTGGCGCCAGCTCCAAATTAAATCGAAATCGAAATCCAATCTGGAGAGATCGTGATCTTACCAATTTTGGGCCACACGCGCCACAGGGGAAATAACTTCTTTTTTTTTTTGGGGGGGCATTCCCGGCATTTTCTTAGCCATATTTTTGGCAGTGGTTGGCTTATATATTTTGTGATTATTTTCGTATTTTGATTTGGACATTGATTGCTATTTTCGCCTCAAGTTGTCGAGTGTTTACGCACATTTCCGTTATTGACACGCATAAATTTGTTGGTACTCATATGTATATTTATGTAAATCTTTGCCAGTCTCAAATGCTTATTGTTTTCGCAGTGGGACTTCTCACTTCGCCGATGCTGCCGGCTCGTTAATTTCTTGGCCAAATAATTTAAGCTATTGTTACACGTGTTCCACGCGGGATCATCAGACTCTGACAATGTCGAATTTAAATTTGTCAGCTTGCTTGATTGGTATCTTGTTTTTTTTCGTTTGGGAAAGTGAAATGATCATCATCCCCTTGGGTTAAACTTTCTAGGGGTAACTCGTTTTGTTATCACAAAGGATCAACAATTGTCTGAGGTCTTCGATGTGTGCACACTTCATTTGTCCAACATTTGCGATCATGCAAAGCAGTCTGATCCGATCAATCGGCATTAAGGATCTGGGATGCCATGGCATTTCTCAATTCATCCCTCCTGTCTAGATCTTCCGGAACAGAAGTCAGCCACGCGTTAATGTGAACAGAAGTTCCGATCACTTTCACTTTATGGAAACTCAATGAAGCCCGTCGCATAAATTACTAGAAAAGGAACTTCCCCGAGGGGTAAGTGGATAGTCGAGGGTTGTCTACATTTTCATTAACACAAACTCTTGTTAGTACTGACCAGCGACAGTTGGCCAGCCATGGCGACAAAATACGGGTGCCTTTTTTTCGGTAATTAAAGGCCTCTTCCAAAAAAAAAAGGGTTCCCAGCCAAAAACCGAAAACAAATTCATTGCTCATTGTTGGCTTAATTGAATTTACTGCACACGGTGCGTGCCGAGCGGTAAATTGGTAAATTGGAGGACCCTCGAGGGCCCCAAAAAATATACAAAACTGATCACGTGTGATCCTGTGGAGTGTGGAGTGGTACCCCAGAAATTTAGCCCATCAGCCACACCATCGGCGTTGAAAGGTTAACTCTGCACAAGTTCACTCCACTGGCCCATCCGCAGGGACAATCGCATTCAATTCTGTGGAAAGCAAAAGGTATACTCTAATCAAAGGGTATTCTGGTTATTTTATAAGGCTTATATTTTTATTTATTATATTTTATAAAAAATTGTTATGATGTTTTGTTAGGATAACCTCGTGAAATAAATAAATGAAACTTAAAAAGTTACATAGAGTATCCTTAATGCTATTTGAAACTAACTGCATATATGATTCGCATTTGCCTGCTTTTTTTGTGCTTTACTTATTTTTTGCAGATCGTTTTTCTTTTTTTTAACCAACGCCCACCTTGCTTTACCTTTAGACGGCTTTTGTTGTTGGTTTTCGCGTTTATCAGTTAAGATCAGGCGGCGGCAATGGTTTCGGGCTCAAGTTTAAGTTTATCCTGTCTGCCTGCGGTTTTGGTAGTTTCTTTTCGTTTTAGTCTCTCCTTTTTTTTTTTTGGGGCAGTGAATTTTAATTAAAATACTTCTCAGGGTTTTTATTTTCTCCGAGCTGGGCTGCAACGGGGGTTACTCTGGGGTTTTTATCTACAAGGGGCAAGTGACGCTTCTCGGTTGTGAGTGTGACACATTTGCATCAGATACGACAAGCTCGTCTCGGAAGGACACCCACAGACTCATAAATCAGACTCTGGGTAAAATAAACAGAAGAAAAAATCCAAAAAATTGACTTGTCAGGACACCTGACATCCTCATAAATATATTTGAATTTGTTTTCTTGCTGTCTGCTCCTTTGTTTTTGGAGTCGTGAAGATTTCACACATTTTTTCTCTCGTTGGCAGTTATTCTCACAGCGACACGACGTGGCGCCAGGACATTTCCACAGCCATTCATGTCCTGCTGCGTTGGCAAAAAAATATAAAGGAAGAAAAACCCCGAACTGCAGTTGCACAATAAGAATAAGAATTGCGACTATGCAGTTATTGCTACTTGGAATTCACCGTCTGGGCCAAAAACTAAGTGCGGTTGGATGTTTTCATGGATGTTTACTCTCAACACTATGTGGGTGGGATGACTTACCTCGGTTGGGTGTCGAAATGACCTGAAAAAACACGAAAAATTTTAAATATTATAAAAATTGTATTTTCATTCTTACTCCAAAGTTCAATTCAATTAAAATTATCAGGTTTGTTGCATTTTTTTAGCCACTTGAGACTGAAGGCTGGAATTTCGCATCAAACGAATCGATTTAATTAATTTATCATTGTCATTATCAGTTGCGAATTTTCTTTGGGGCCAAGCTGTCTCATAAATCTTCATTAAAATTGGCCCAAAACGTCAAAAACGATTTTTTTTAAAACTTAACTTAAAATAATCAAAGAATGTAAAAAACGAAAGTAACAGCCGGCTTAGCTACGCACTGCTTGCTACTGTTCAAACTTGCACTGCTTTCTCCAACATGTTGCAATCAAACATATGTTAACTAACAGCGGTTCGAACTGTTAACAAAATATGTTAATAAAGCTCTGTTAAAAGGCTCAATCAGTAACATTTTTTTTCTGACTGTTATTTTTCCAATAAAAAGTTGGAAAATTTTAAAAATTGAAAAAGTGTTGTAAAATTGAAAAAATGTTCTGTTAAATTTTAAAGTTCGAAAAAAAAAGCTTTTTTTTCCCGGACAACAAAAAAATTGGACTTTTAAATTAAATTTTTTTTTATTAAAAACATTTTTTCACCACGATTATTTCAAAAGAAGAAAAAGATTTTTTTTTATGAACAGCCAAAAATTTTGAACAAAAATGCCCAGAAAAACGCAAATAAAAAGCAAATCTTTCGAAATTTTTGTCCAATCTCAATATCACATTTTACAAAAATAATGAATACCTAATAAATAATAATAATTAATAAAAATAAATACAATAAAATCAAAAACTCGTCAAATAGTCCAAAACACTGCGAAACACAACAACGAGATTTTCGTTTTATTTTTTAAAAATAAACCGGGGATGCCACCTTTTCAATGGGTTTCATTTTCATTTCATTCCGGTGTTTTCAACAATTTTTTTTATACACTTTTAGAACAATTAAATTAAATTAATTAATTTTTAAAAAACATATTTACCCAATTTCAACAAATTTATCGCCATCCATTTGATTTTAAACTTCTCGGTCGTTCACCAAAACGAAAAATTTAATTTCACCGACGCCAATTTAATATCCAAATTTGAGGTGGGGAAATTCAAAACCTCATCATGAGAAACCAAGTTTAATAGATTTTTTTAAGGACTTTATCTGGTGGTAGGTAATTCCCATTATCAATTTCATCAGCTTTATGGTGGGAATAAAACAAAAGAATGAGAAAATTGAGTGATAAACAACTGCGATTTGTTTCGATTTTTTTTGCCATTTCATCATATTGTAGCTCTCAGATATCAAATGAATTCTTCGGCATTCAAATTTCGTCCCCAATAATTATGCGTCATGGGAGAGGTGTCTGTTTTTGCGTAAACAAACTAGAATATTCGTGATCACTTTGGTATTTCTGATAACCAAAGAGCAATGCTACTGGATTTTTTTCGGAGTATTCTCATTCCAGTTCATTCATGGCCAGATTTCTTCTCGGAGGAATGGCAGAGTCTCTAGTTGCTCTAATTGAACCTATCACAAAACTTTTGAACTTATCTAGGTATCGAGTTAATTGGAAACTGAGACACGAGCAAAGTCCACAATTGATGTTTGTTCTCGTTTCTCGTTTCGGGGAACTTCCCTCGCGATAAGATGTATTCTCTTTTTTTCCCCTCCAAGATCACAGCGATGCCGATTAATTCCCAAAATGATCTCACTAATTCACCTGATTCTAATTTTTAATCCAAGTCATCTTCTTATCGCAGAGCCAAAAAATAAATTGTTGCTTAATGTAATCTCTGTACGATTTGTGCTTTGTTTTTGGGTCGCTTTGGCCACCGCCATTTGATTTACAGCATGATCAATAAAACTGCCTGCCTGATACAACTGCCTGGCTAATCGATCAATATCAAAAATATCAAAAAAAAAAAAAAAAAAATGCAGGGGCAACTTTGCTAATGGCTCGCCAACTGGACCTTGCCCAATATCGTCTGGCATTTCCAGGCGCATTCGGAATTTCTGGCTTGAAAGTCTCAGTTCCGAAATGGGGGTGTGCAACTGGGTGGGTGTCTAGTTTTTTTCTTCTTTCTTTTTATTTTTTTGTGCAATCGGAAAGTGGAGCAGGTGGACGCCACATAGATCATTATCAGACTGGGAGACCTAGTTTGCCTAAATGGAGCAAAACATTTCAAGGAATGACAAATGCAATTTATGATCACGGTTCTGAGGTAAGTCGAGGTATTTATTTAAAACAGAATTTAATTACTCTAGCTCTAGAAATTAAGATTTATTCAAATATTATATTTTATTAATAATATTATAAATAATATATAAGAACTAGCTCGCAAGTATCTTTTAAATATTTCTAAAAATTTCTATAAAAGTATCTCAAGCAACATTAGAGTAGCCTACGATCTTGAAGGAATTGGCCAAGTTAGGCTAGGAATTCCGTGCCAGCCTGCCTCCACCCTCTACCAAAAAATCTATCAGCACACTCGGGTTCGGCTCGGTTCGTTTCGTGCGACGTACAACAGCGACAGCCAAGCAGCGGCTCGACAGCTATCGCATGCGCCGGCCTCAGATACAGATACAAATTCAGTTTCTGTTCACCTTTCGTCGGTTAAAGATCGTTGCCTGCGAAACCAACGGATATAAGAATATACACCAAACCAACCCCAGAGCTCCGTAACTGAAAGCAACAAATGCTTTGGAAAGATATTTTTGAAAAATTCCGAGCAAGACCAAAACTGAAACGTCAGAAACAAGAGCAATACAAAATATCAAGTTCAGATGAGCCTGATTAATGTTAAAAATTTCAAATTAAAAAGTGCACTTCGGCGGTAAATGACTAACTGATTTTGTTTTAAAAATCGAAACCCAAACCAGTTGAAAACAGGCAAAATATTTTCGAGTGTCCCCCTACCCAGTGCCAGTGCAAAAGTAAAAAAAAGTAAATTCCCGCAAAATAAATCAAAAAATTTTGTGCAACGTTAAAAATACACAAATAATTTCGAATAAAATATTGTCGTGTTACTGCTGACAAAAGTGCAATACAAGTATATATATATATATATAACCATTATATTTATTACAACCAATTACATATTGTTAATCAAAAGTAAAAATATATACATATCAACGCAAAATACAAATATTATATAGTGCGGTATAGAAAGAAATTGCAAGAATTACAAAATAAAAGATAAAGAGCCGCTTCGGATTCAATTGCAATTTTTTTGCGGTGTACTTGTAATTTTGTTGACGCTGCATTCTCGCCATTAACTTCAGATTCAGATTCATACATATGCGATATATGAATTTTGATTTCTGAATTTCCGCTCCGACTCGTGTTCGTCGACCACAGCAGAAAACTTGAAACTCTTTCGTCAGTCCAATGCTAGACTTCCGACGATACTACGCACAAACCCATGTTGGATTATAATTTACACCCTTAAATTGGGGGCTACAATGCGGCCAGAAGTATACGATGTAAGTTTTGAAACTATAAGCCATTTAATCACACCATTGCTGATCATCAATAGTCGTAAAATTTTCGAAATAAAAGTTTATGGATTAAAAAGAACCACAAAGGTGGTTGGTGAAACATATTTTTAGGAATTATAAATTAATAAACCATGCCAGGCAACCATAATTCATGGAAAACAAACTAATGGTTTAATGCAGAAAATTAATTAGTCACTGAAATCGCACGACTTTAAAAATGACTTGAACCACGTGCACCAGAACACGCCACTTTCGAAAAATATGAGTTGTACGCAATCCAAGGAGTAATCCCTAAACACCATGACCTGTGTTGAGCTCCTTTTTTTTTTTTTGCACAGTTCCCACACAAATACAGCATATAAATTATTATGCGAGTGTGCGTGCAGCCCGTTCTTTTATCAGGGGCAGCGCAATTTCACTTAAAAAACAATTTCCAAACACACATCAAAAGCACAATTATATGTTTGAAACAAGAAATATGAAGTCCAGGACTCGGTTTCAGTTTCAGCTTCGGTTTGAGTTTGAGTTTGAGTGCGAGTTGTGTTTCTGTTTCAGGTTCAGGTCCATAATTGCCGTTTATAACTTGTTATGGCACCAACACATGCATCCTGTCAGGATAAATCACACTCCCGACGATTGTATGTGTGTGCAGTGTACGGATAGTGTGTGTGTGTGTGTGTGTGTACAACCCCTTTTTCGAAACTTTTGGAGGGTTTGTGGCGTGTCCTGATCTCACAGGACATTTACCTGAGTTATAAATCAATCGCAAGCAAAACGCTGCCAACCCTCCGCGGCTCAAGTCGCACGAGAATCGCGCACAGTAGTCGCTCCAATAATCGCCCAGGACCCACCATAGGCAACTGATCCAAGCTATACCATTAATTCAGATTAATTGTCACTAATCTCACACCCCAACCCAATTTTGAGCCATAAACAAGTTCAACATTTCGAAAAGGCAAATACGGCTGCCACGCCCCAAAAGATTTCTTCGGATTGACGATAAGCGGGGAGCGGGTTTTTCTGTAAAAATAGACAATATTTGATTTCTTTTATTAATTAAACGGAAATACTGTCAGATAACACCACCCAAAGCCCCACTGCCCCCACAGTGATAAGCCCGAATAGAAGAGTTATGAAAAGGTGGTGGAAATCGAAGAAGATCCACTCAGAGATCTCTAGTTGTTGTGGGGGAACCCATATACAATACTAGCAATAATCTAAGCCATCGAGAGTTTTATTAAAATTTATGATTTGGCCAGAGGCACAAGCTCCATGCCAAAACACCATAAATACATTTATGACTTGGCACATATTTGTGCAGCTTTGATTAATGCAATCACTTGACATCGGGCCTCTATTTGGCTCAGAAACAGAAGCAGAAATTGAATTCTCGCCTCACTTGCCACCGTTAACGGAGCCCAGACAACCTTGGCCAAGTAAGCTGCACTTTTGTGTTTTTTATTTCGGTTTCTGGCCAAATGTTCAGCCATGACTTGTGAGAAAATTTAAAAATCTGGCACCAGGCGACAGCTATCCCAGCGAAAGTAATAATGGGTAATACTATTAAAGTTCATTCAGTGCACACACAGCGTATTTAGTAATTCCCTCATGATGATTATGTTAATTAGTAGCGAAAATATTATATTATCACCCAGTTCCGTGACCAACGTGACGCGTTCCCAGACTTGTTTCGAAAATAGTTCAAAGTACGCTTAAAAACTTTTCCAGCTAACTGCTAACTGCTAAATGCTAGAAAAAATATCACTTCTAGTTTTATAATTAGTTTACGCGCGGGTGGCAGAATCTGCATCCCACTCGTCGATCGAGGGGCGGGTATAATTGGGTCCCCAAACATATGACGCCACGGCCACGGCCGGACAGAAGCTCGCTCTCGTTTTGAAATCTATCAAAAATCAGTCATAGGAAACGACCTCAGAAGGCACGTTCAGTCATCCCAGATAGGCTGCACCGATGATGATGATGATGATCCATAGAGTATAAAAAACGATTAGTCACATTGCCAGCTTAATAAACAAATATAGGCGAGAGTGCAATAAATATAATGGAAAGCCGACGGAAAGTCAAGACGCTATAGCGTTTTAAATCGCTTCAAAAAACGCTCCGTACGAGGCCTATGGTATCTGCATTCTCGAAATTCTTGCCAAGACTCCTCCCACCTTGTCAAATTAAATCTGTCTGGACTTCGAAGGGAAGGGACTGGTAGTGGTGAGGAGTGGAGAGACCTAAAGAGGTTCTCCAGGCGATAAGTAGTGGAATCCAGAGTCGATTAGCTTTCGGCGATTTGCGATCGATTTTTGGCTTTATGAGTTTATGCCTTTATAGCCGACCCAATGCCAGTGACTAAGTGTGGCCAAGTAGGTCCCAACATCATAAACCCCTGATCTGAGCCGGGAGAGCCGCCGGAGTACGCCCTGTCTCGGATGGCGATCGGCTGGGAATAAAACGAGTTCGTTCCCCACTATCTTATCACCGAAGAACACGTTCAAAATATACGCCACTGCGTACTACGCGTACTATATCTACCTATAACACTGTGTATGTATTTCTTTCTTGGGTGCCTCTGTATTTGGAAATACAACAAAAATAATAATAATAACAATGCGCCAAAAAGAGCCATGCGGCCGTCAAGTGTTTACGGTTTGTTTTGCTTTTTTCCCCCCTTCGTTTTGCTAAAAAACCTCTATCAGAAAAGCCCCTTCCCCACGAAAAGCCCCACGAAGGGCCCCACGAAAATTTACTACGCTTTGTTGGACGATTTTACTATTAAATGGTAAGTGGTAAAGTTTTCCACCTTGATAAGTTCGCTTTCTATGGCAATTGAGAGTGCGATTGTTCAATTAATGGCAAATATTTGCATTGGACATTACGGCTGCAGTGGGTCAACGAAAGGTGTATGATTGGCGTTGCACCTGACCCACAATGCTGGGCATTGGTTGTTTTATTGGTGTTGTCATTGTTGGTTTTGGACACACTACTTGGGAATATTGTGTAAAAAGACATACAAACACACCCACCTTGGGGAGATGCCACGAAATCGGCATCGAGATCCAATGATGAATTAGAAAGTTTTAAATCCAAGAGAGAAGAGGAGTTTTCTTTGAATCCAACACACTACTAATCAGCTTAGCGATTGATTTATCTTTTGGCTTTATGCTTTTGTTTTTTGTTGTTTGGGTGATTTATTGGCAACAACTATCGCGGGTAATCAAATATTTACAGTAATGTAAAACTGGCTTTTATTGAACCATAACGTCTGATAAGAGTCCCCCGATGGAGCTCCGATATATGTACATATGTATATGTTCCACGATTCGATTCCTTTTGAGACGAGACCATATCAAATGTATTTGCCTAGCAATTTAAGCCGGCAATTTCCTCGGAATGGAAACCGAAACACGCGTGTTGGCCCGCCATCTCTCACCCCTTAACCCCCATCCAGTATTACCAGTTGCGTCTCAGGTGCAAGGCAATTATTATTTACTTCCAGAAAAAAGGTGTCATATTTGAGTAGCCGGCACAGTCCCTAGACAAATCCAATCGATGCACTTGCCGTGTTTGCCTTAAACTCGGCATAGCCTCATCGATTTCGTCGCCACTGCATACTACGCCCGTCTCTCTCGCCGGCTCATCCTCCGTCTCTATCGGGCTGTCGTCTGGGCGGTGTTGACACTTTGGGAAAGTTGCGCTGAATGCTCAACAAAGTAGTATTCGCTGCCACTTAAGTAGCCGGACTTATCAAAAGGGCTCACTGAGCCGGCGGATGGCACCGCCGAAAGCCGCTTATCACCTCCGGTGGTGCAGCTGTCCCGGTGGCGAAAATCGCATTAGATACAACCCACCCTTGGCCCAGTAATCGGAATGGGAAAAAGGAGGTATCACACTGAGAGAAAACTCGTTTCCCCTCCGCTTGGTGATTAGAACACTTTGATTTCATTTTTCCACGTGCAGAAGGGCGGAGTGCTAATGAGTTGAGATTTGTGTGGCGGCACGTCACTTTTGGAAAACTCACAGCCTTGACACTGGGCTGTCTGTGGGCTGCTGGCATACAACATCATCAAATGATTCGTTCTGCTATATATCTACAGAAAAGTGACTGAAAACAGCATTAGCTTATCGCTGGGGTACACTGAACTCTCACGGACTCCCCATTCCTAGCATTGTTGTGGTGGTGCTCCCTATTCTGTTTATATTTGGGGCGTTGCTTCGGTGGGTACAAGTGCAAGTTCAAGTGGTTAGGGGGCCCACAGGGAAAGAGACAACCACCGAGATGGAGTACACGCCAAAAGTATGCAAAGTTTTAGGTTCAAAGTCTGGAGGCTTTCTTTTAATGAGGGCCAAGAAGGGCCTAGGACTGTTTGCTTTACAAAGACAAATCTTAATGGATTACAATACCATTAACAACCCCCAGCTCTAAGCTATTCTGATTCTAATTTGCATATAAATCAACTTAAAATTCCAAACCCAAAACCGAAACCGATTTAGTTTCTGAATGTGAAGCCTATGACACCCACTGGCTTCTTGCAGTTGCAGTCGCCACTGTGCCATTATATAAATATTTTCATATAATATGCCCACCAGCTCGGCGCCCTGCTGCAAAAACAATGGCCAACTGCTAACTGGCAACTGCCAAAGTCAGTTGAGTACTTTGTATACACTCTCATGTGTATCCAGCGGATACGCCGCCCGCCCTTCGCTCGCAACTTCATTAAGTCGCGACTGAGCAAACACGTAAAAAAGTTGCAGTTGCAGCCGGAGTAGGAATCGGAATCGGAATCGGACTCGGACTTGGACTTGGAATAGGGGTACACCCAGGGGGTATGAGACGGGTTTAGGGTTGCTGGTTCGGCTCGGCGAAAAGCGCAAGGTGGATGATGCAAGAGTATTAAGTAACAGCCAGTTCTCGGCAAGCCACCCCTTAAAACAATGGAAAAATTGCATTAAGTGCAGCATTTCAGGCCAAAAAAAAAATAGGGAAAATAAAGTAAAGAAAAGTAAGGTATAGGGTGGCTCATCACCGTCACCACATCGTCAAACAAAATCACAATTGCAATCACACGCACAATTGACGAGCAGAAATTTCACACTTATTTCCCCCCGAACACGTGGCGGCAGGGTCCTGCGATAACCAGGGCAGTTACAGGACTTTAATTACAGGATTGATGTCCGGTAACACGTGCCCGCAATCAAAGTTCAATGCTATCACTTTCCCATAGCGTTTATCTCCCGCATCTTTTTGCCAATTCATTATTCTGTCCAAATGCTTTTGGGCTAATCTAATCGGCCAGCGCATTCCACAGATGCCGTATTTATTTTCCACAAGTATATAAGCTAGTAGTACAATTATGCGACTCCGTAATGGTGATGTGTGTGGAAGCAACAAGTGTTAAAGTCCAGATGCCGACACGTGCCCCGTTCTCGAGAGTCGAGTCGAGTCGAGTCTGGAGTCTCGAGTCAAGAGTCGAGTGGCAAACTAGTTTGCATTCGAATCAAAGCCAAATCACATCGAATCGAATCTAAAAGACCCCGGTGCTTAGCATATTATCGATCGATGCGATCGGGGAAAAACACTTGGAGTTTAACTTTAATATTTATTTCCAATCAGGCACCAGATTTATATGTATTACCAAATCCATAGCCGGTGCCAGCACAATCAAGTGGACAAACTAATTAAAGGCCTGAAAATGTCGCCAGCGATTAGATTGCATTTTTATTTTCAAAAGTGGTCGCTGTGACGTAGAAGCCAGATTTTCGAAGCTTTTGAAAGGAGGCTCCACTGTTTTGTGTTTTGTGAATGAAATTGAAAAGCTTTCCACCATTTGGCGTGGGGCGGAGGAAAACTTCACAATCCAGTCAGTGGACGGGACTCAGAACTATTCATTATTCAGGGCACACATGGGTCCGGGGCCCTACCACATTGCGTAAGGCGTACTTGGGAAACGAGAGGAGTTCGTGGAGACTGGGAGCCAGGCAGCTAGGGAGCTAGGGAGACCTTTGTGGCTCCATTTCGAGGAGCTCCTGTCTGCATACCAAATAAGGTAATTATGAGTCGCAGAAGGGAACAAAAGTAAAGCACAGAACATAGAAGCTATATCGAGTTACATACATGGGAACCGCTCTGCACCGAAAGAATTCATTGTTTGGAGTTCCTTTGACTTGAAAGCCTCCATTCGAAATATTTCTCTCTCTGTAGAACCGCGGGTCATGCCATTCTGGCCTTAGACTGTCTGGTCTTAGACTGGAGCGAACAGCTGAAGTTTCGTTTTCAATTTCGGGGCCCTTTCTTCTTTATTTTTTGTTGCGGTTGCCAACCCACAAAATAAGACTTCAAGTACCTAAGACCGAACAAAAATATCGTGTATTGATCAGTCAGCAGAATGGGATGTCTGGCTAGTTAGTAAGCTCCCCCGAAAGTAGCTTCCCTTTTCGCTGGAAAAGTCGGCAACAATTTTTTTTTTGGCAATTTAACATAAATTGCTGGAAGCCGCTTTAATTGCTTTACCAAGCAAGAAGAAAAAAATAAACGTTTGGATAAATGCTGTGCCTTCGTATTCATTTTGTTATTCATGTGTGTGTCTGCACATTTCAAATGAACTTTATTGTCTGCCTGTGAAATTGAAAAATGATAAAAATCGCACGCCACCAGGCATTTGATTTGGATTTTTTCCTTTTCTCGTGTATTTTTTTTTTGTAGACTGCCCACTGAGAGGGATTCGGGATTCGGAATTGGCAGGACTGGAGGAATCTGGAGGAAGGAAGCCTCCTCCTGGGGCTGTTTTAACTTTTGACTCTCGGTCGGTTCGCTGTATTGATTTCTCGAGCTTGATTCTTTGCGTTTTCACTTTCCAAACAAAACTGAGCAAAAGACCTTCGTCTCAAGAAACTACCCTTCTGGGTCTTGAGTTCTTTTCTGTTTTTGTTCGCAATTTATTTTTTGCTTTTTTGTAGTTCAGTTCAGTTCAGTGCTAAGCTGAAATCAATGACCTTTTGGGCCTGAGGATTAGTTGGTCGTGAAACAGAATATTCAGTGCAGAAAGTGCCAACAAAAATATGGCAAGACTTGTTCAGTTGAATCGATAAAAATAAAAAGGAAAAACATAAAAAAAACACATTTTTTCTCCAGCTTTTTCCGAGTGGCCACTTGTGGTCACTTGTGGGGTGACATTGAGCCAAAGCCACTGGAAGGGCTCTCCATGGAAATCCGATGGGTAGATGTCTGCTTTTGTATATACTCGTATAATATTTTATTCCGAGAGCTCACGATCAGATCACGGCTGTAAAATGACTTAATTGTTGTTTAAGGTGAAGATACGACTCAGACTCCGACTCAGACTCAGACGGAAGTACGTCTCGGGAAACAAAACAAAACCCAACAAAACAAAAACGAATAAAGTAGAAAACAAATCAATAAAATCAATAAAAATAATCATTAATAATAATCTGTAAGATTTATGCAAATTTTTCTCCTTTGAATCACTCTCAGCTCGTCTCTTTATTTTTAGTGCCTAGCGTAATTTTCGAATACTATTGAATACAACTGAATATACTCATTTTGTTTATTTTCCATCTACTTGCAGGTTACAACAGTTCACGCTGCCCAATGTCAGGACTTTTTCTATACTGATGGTAGGTTTCTTAATAATAGAACTATAATCGTATAATTTGTAGATATTTTATTATTTTTATGCCACGGACGGCATACACCCAATTAAATGTCAGAATAATTTCCGGCCTTGTTCCAATTTCCAGTTTTTGGCTGGCAAAAACCATCTGGAGATCTTCAATCTCGATCGAAAGCGGCTTTGTTTTCAACACTCTGAATAATTATCTTGAGAAATGTCAAAATATTTTCATACGTCCGCTAGATTGAGTGTGTGTAATCGAAATTGTAGTTGGGGGATTCCGATTCGGTTTTCGGAGTGGATTGGATTGTATTGGAGTTGTGATATGGGGGAAACGTGTGTACATTGGAGTGGCTCTCGGTTTTTTGTGCGGTCTCTCCACTTGAGTCGGCCCATAATAAAAAAAACGAAATTATAATTATTATTATGATTATGGTTGTTACACATACACGCACTGAAACGTCATTGAACTATGGAAAAGGTCGCACGGCATTCCAGACCGAGACTCTTTACTTTTCGAGAAGTGCAAACAGAAGGCCCCACCACACTTCTCCCCATCTGAAAAAAAACTGACATAATATCAATTCGAGACGAATGGAACGTTGACAGACTTCAAGCGGAAATGATGAGGAATGCCAGCGATTTGTGGGAACTCGAATCGATTGGTTAAGCTCCGATAAATCGATCGGCACGCGTCGATCTATGGGCCTTTGGCCATTCGTTTGTCCGAAACCCATCGGTTACCACCCCAGAAAGCCCCTAAAATCCTCAAAGCGAAGTCCGGCAGTATTTTTAGCCATTTCACCATAAATAGGTTTTGGTGCCGTGCGCTGAGCAGGACATGATGTATGAGCCCTAAGCCCAGATAAATACTCGATTTGCACTCGCCACGCTTCGATTGGAGCCTCCATATATTTTCCGTTTGTTTGGCCAATTTGAATGTTTTGCTGATTTGCATATTTTCATTATCTCTTGGCCGAAAAACGTAATGGTCATATCACTCAAGTGGTGCTGCTCAAAGGTCGAAAACGTGCCGACCCTAGAAGACATGACAGAGACACGTGTCTGGTGGTGAAATCAAATTCTAAAGACAAATATAGGAATTTTTAGGCCCTAATTGTAGACCATTCTAGAGTCATTTTCATTTGGACCATGTCCAATTTACATGCATGGGAACGCTGGTGCTCCAACATCCCATTGAGAAAGCAATTACCTGGACTACCATAACGTCCAGACCAGACCCTAATGTCCAGTGGGCTCAACTTTGACCATAAAATCTTGGTGTCGCATGTGCGGGGCGGTGTCATAAAAAGCTCATCGTATTAATGGAAATTTATGGGGCAAAAAAGGGTTCCGCTGGTCGGGATTAGTCGCCAGATGATGCGACTTTAATACAGATGAATCGTCCATTAATCGGAGCTCCTTCTCACTGTTCTTTTTATTTTTTGTATCTTGCAGATATTTGTGGTTGCTATTGCGATGCCAACATGCGCCGCGAAAAATGGCTATGTTTTAAAATTACAATGTCCCAGCGACCGGGCGCTGCACATCAATGCGCACGGCAAAGTGAGCGCCGAGGATATGTCCCTGGCACGTAAGTATCTTAAAGATATTTTACACTTATATAAAAATATTTCAAAAATATGAAAAGGGAAACTGATCTTGAACTGAACTGGGATGGCTCTTAGTCATGAGAACTCGCATTCATCAATTACGATTGGCATTTAAATTAAATTGACATTTTTACTATATACAAGTATACAGTGGAGCTTGGCTAAAATGAAATAGGGATTTCCAGTAAATAATATACAAAGCTTGTAAACTATTATTTTATTATTAAAAAGATTTATTAGAAGACTTCAAATCATCTTTGAAATCCCCCCAAAAGTGTCTCATTATTTCGTTTTTAAGAAGCTGGACTGTAGTATAGCTTGAACTCTGTCTGGGTCTGGGTCTTTGTCTCTGGCTGTGCATATTGTGGGCTTAATTAAATTATTGGTAATTTAATATTTGATTGATGTTATGAACCGCTCAGCGGCGCCCATTGCGGTTTCGTTTTGTTTTGTTTGTTTGGCCCGGCCCGCTCTTAATTTATTCGGAATTCATTTGCTGCGGTTTTCCAAGCCTCTTCACAAATATCTGAAGTTCAGGAGCAGAGCACCACCACCACCACCCTCTTCCTATGCCAAGCCAATGTGGGTTGATGTCTGAGTGAAAGTGACAAGATCGGCGCCACATTGCGTCACTGAGTCCGATCGGATCGAGTCCAGAACCTTTATCCGTCCAGTTAAAGAAAAACTTAAAATAACGGAAACAATATTGTCACTTTGGTATTTTATCTTATCGTCAGTGCTAGGTGCTAGAGAGGTTTTAGGAAATTTGATCGATTTACCACGGGCTACTGAAGGTCTTCCCCCAAAAACCAAAACCAAACCCAATCCGAAACGAAATCGAGGGGAGTTATCGGGCTTAGTGGTAATTTTCAGGGTTAAACCCTTTTCCTTTTGGCTAATTGCGAGTTCAACGACTCAGCGCCAGTAATTGACTTGGTTGATTTATTGATTTCATTAAATGCTCCATTGCCGCACCGGTATACCATACGTAAATACATAGTTCAATTCTAATCAAAAGCCCCTTCATAACTTTATCGAAAACCTTTCAATTAATTGGGTTATCTGTATGCGCCTCGAGTGGTCCCAGTTCCAGTTCTATTAAATATTTACACAATACCCATAGTTTGTTTGCTAATAATTAATTAATATTTTTTTTGGTTTTCTTTTTCTTTTAGAGTCTTTCGTGATGAACAGTGTGAGCGATGTGTTTGGCGATGTGTTTGGAGATGTGGATTTCAAAATCACCATCTATGCGCCGGACGTCGACTTGTATCTGTGCTTCCATCAAAACAAACTTGTTGGAAAGGTAAGAAACTCACCAATCTATCCACATAGAACGGGGGAATAAGGGGGTTTCTATTATTTTAGACCCAAAACTAACTTGAGTTTCTTCCCTCTTTTTGGTATCTTTTGTATTCTTTAGAGAAACGCCACAAAGGACTGCCACTTTAGAGAGTCAATGGTTAATGGGTATCACCAGTACACCCATGCCTACAACTCAGTGCTCCATGTTGGCTTTAAGCGCAACTTTAAGCCAATTGGCCCCAAGGACTTGAAGAAGCCGAGAGTGATGGAGAAGGCCTACTGGTCCTTCTACCCCACGGAGGCTGAGCATTTCCGAAATGCTCTGGGTTTGTTGGGTCGCAAAAAGCATGCCAGCACCAGCACCAGCACCACCACTACTACTACTACCACAACTACATCAACCACATCAACAACAACAACAACGACACCACCACCACCCAGTACTAGCGGAAGTAGCTCAAAAACCACTGAGGCAAGAGCCACCACAACCACAACACAACAACCACCAGTGGCGGGCACAAAACGCGCGCGACAGAAACCGCGTCGCCCATCAAGTATTAATAGCGATAGTTCTACAAACCCCCAGACCCCCATCAGCCCCAGCAATAGACCTAAGTCCTACAACAAAGCCAATAGCAACAACAACAGTAAAAACAAACACAACAACCACGTGGAGGATCTGCAGGAGCAGCAGATGATCATCCAGCGGAACCAGAAGAACCATCAGCGCCGAATGCGCCTGCAACGCCGGCGCCAGCGGCCGCAGGGAGGTGCCATGGGTGTGATGGCGCAGCCGCAGCCGAAGAACCTGGTGGTGCGCCACCACCACAACAATGCCACGCTGATGGAGCGCCGCGAGCGCCGTCGCCAGGAGCGGCTGAGGCACAAGCAGCAGCGCCAGCTGTGGGAGCAGCAGCAGCGAGCAGAGGGTGAGCGCGAGAGGGAGCGGGAACGAGAGGAGCACCTGCCCAAGGCCACGTCCTCGGCCTCGTCCAGTTCCTCCTCATCGTCGACAGCCACGCAAACGGCCCTGACCGCCACCGCCGCCTCACTGGCGCCCAGTGCTTTCAACTTGGTGGCCATCATGGCCGCCAGTCGCCGGAAGCGGGACAGGCGAAAACGCGCCACAGCCGCTGCCCCCGCCGCCGCAGCCACCAGGGTGGCAAGTGCCCATCCCCATGCCCGTGATGCTGACATGCAACTGATGGAGCTACCCTCGCAGCGTCAGCAGCAACAGCAGCAGCAGATCCCCACTATCCCCAACCCGAACGAATACTCAAAACCCTATGTTAATAGTAACTTAAACTTACTAAAAAATAGTAATAGCATTAATGTTAATCATGCAATACCTGCCTTGCCAAAAAACTACAACTACTTGTACAGTAACGAGCATTATAATTTGAATACTAAAAGTAGCACGACTGATTCTAGTAGTTTAGACACTAGCACTAAGTTCGATAGTCCAAATAGCCATAGCCATAGCCCTAGCCATAGCCACAGCGCGTTCAATCAGAATATTGACAATAATCTTAAGCAATTAAACGATCGAATTGACCCTTTTGTTGCAACAGCAACAGCAACGGCCGGAAGTGAAAGTGCAGGTTCTGTTGCGACAGAGCCCACTGATGGAGTGACAGAAACAGTAGACGAGACTGTTGTGGAGGAGAATCGCAATCATATTGATGCTAATAATATAATCGACGATATCTATCCGACGAGCGACGAGGAGCACGAAGAGCAGATTCTAAAGAAACTTTTTCGTGGCCTAGAGAAGCTGCCACTGCAACAGCAGCAGCAGCAGCAACAGCAACCGCAGCAGCAACAGCAACAACCTAATATTAATAATTTAAATGAAAATATTAATGTTGTTAACGATAATCAGAATCATAATGATAATGGGCTGCTGACCAATAATAACCATAATAGTAATTACAATGAGCAATTTGCGAATGACGATGAAACGATACGAATTCAAAATAATAAATATGAAACACATATAGTACAATACAAACATGCGGTATTTATTCAGATAAGATGGATTGGGTGGGGTTTCTTTTTCTTTCAGTTTTAAAAATTATTCAATTGGGATTTGCCAATCAAGGCCAATAAGTTCTGCAAACATTAGAAATGGCTGTGTCCCAATATCTTTCAAGATCATCTGGCCATCCGGAAACATCAATGTGAATATTTTATACATTTTTGGGGAATTAAAATTCCAATTCAAAATGCGCATTCCGAAATATTACAAAAAAAAAAAACTGAAATATATCGAAAACATAATTCGAAAATCGTGTAACAATTGATAAGAATCTACAACAATGTGACAATGTGTAAATCTCCCTTGACTGCCTGACCTCAATCTGTTCGGATAACAATAAATTATCGGGCGGCAAAAGTCGCCGCCGCGCAGACGCCACAAAGTCGCGTGCAAAACGCGTGGGCGATATTCGAATATTTTTCCATCACAAAAATCTCTAGCCCGTTGTCTTCATCATCTTTTGGAGCTTTGTTGTTGGAAAATGTTTGATAGATGTTCGGACCATGTTGACACCGCATAAATCATAAATAAAGATTTCATATTAATTTATGCAAAGTACCCGAGATGTATGGCGTGTCTGAAATTAATTAACCAGCGTTTTCTGTGTCGCAGCGACACATGCAAATTCGGCTAGCCATCGGATTCGGATTTATCAACCTGTGCCCCCAGCTCCAAACTAAAAAGCTCCAAGTGTCCAGGTCCAGTCCAGCCGTATTCTCACCGACAGCTCTTGGCCAAAACAAAGCCACCAGCCAGCTCTCTTGGCGCCAACTTGCTGTGTGTCTCCACCGATCGCAAATCGCCTCAAACCACACCAACGCCTAAACCGAGTTGCTAATGAAATTTTATTATATGCTCGGAGCAATAATTTATAAATTTGTTTAACAAAAAATAAATTTGTTAGGCAATAAATTAAAATAAGCAAAGCACTTGCCATTTTAGTAAGGCAGAGTGTGATCTGTCGGCCAGGCTTCGGAGATGCTCGGCTAGCACTCAGAAAATATTCCCAAGAAATTTGTAATTCCAAGCTTTACTTACTCAGATCATGAATTACTCCCAAGGGTTATTATTCATGTAACAAGTATTAATTTCCCTTTTTAACAAAAAATTGCTGAGGATTGACTTGTCCCACCCAGCGAATAAGCTCAGCGTTTTGTCCGGCACTTAAATGTTACACCTCTTCCCGGTGACCGGGGTGGATCAGCCGGTTTTTGGATGGTCGGAGGGGAAGGAAGTGGAAATATCAAAAACCAAAACAAATAAAATTCGAAATTTGCATTAGAATACGTCTCGGTTTGGCGTCAAAATAACTCAACGGCGAATAGCTCACTGGTTTTGAGTCGAATTTATCACCTAAGCCGGGAGTACAAGAACAACCTGAACAATGTCGGTTAGGAATGCTGGTGTATCTTCTCTACATTGTATATAATTTTATAACATTTTTTTTTTGATTAAAAATCAAACAAATAAATATCCATTTGATTTGTTGATTTTTGTGAATAAAAAATACCCTCTTTTATTGACTTTGGGTTCGTACACCCGTGAGCCAAATTGGTCAAGTGGCTTGGCGCCTTCGAAGATTTCATTCGAATTTTGTGGTTACACTTTTTTTTTCTCATACCAATTCCAGCATTTTTTGTTGTTCGAATGTTTATTAGCCAAATTAGCGTGTGAGGTGAAATTTAAGCAGATTTTCGTTGAGCATCGCCGGCTGTTTATGGGAAAATGATTAGATCCGCTTATGGCCTAGAGATGTTTTTATGCGTTTATTTTTATGACACTTATTCTAATGAAGAAACATTTTAAGCCATGGCTTAAGTGACGGAAATGCCTCCACTGGCCAGCCAGCTACCCATCTCAGGTATTCATGTTGATTTTTTAACCATTTTTCAAGTGCAGCTTACACTGGGATTTAGTCAACTTTGATGACAGGCAGCAATTACGAGAGATTAGTTTTGCATCTTAATTTAATTGTTGCATACTAAATGAATTACCATAAAGGAAAAAGTTTCTACCAAACGGGTCAGATCTCCAAAAACACACCTCCATATTTGCCAAAAAAAAAAAACTTAATCACTTTGATCATAAAATAATATCCGATTTATAATCATTATAATGAGGTTTATAGCGATTCAGTAAAATCACAAATACCTTTTTAATGATGACCAAAAAGAAATATGCGAGATTATTAACAATTTGGCGCCATTTAAACGACGTCGAATTTTTATAATGCTATAACTAAATCCTAAACCGAATCTGTCTTCTATATCACGATTAAGGCAACAACAATGTCCGAGATTTTAATGGCATCGTTAAAACGAATATATCGAAAGGGAACCATGACGGCATCAAAAAACGTTTTACGACTTCGCGCCTTAGAACCAGCTCGTTCTTTTGGCTTATACCCCGATATATTCTCCGTTGTACAAATTTCTTATATTGTTTGTATTTTTTTTTTTTTTCGTGCATTCTATATAAATCGGATACGGTTGGATGGGTGGGAATTCCGATAGGCAAGTGCCAACCGGTTTAAGTTCAGGATTGGGGGTTCGGGTTAAAATTAAAATCTGACGCGCACTCAATTAAGTTTATTGCATTGCAAATCATGTCCGTAACCCATTTTTATGACAGTCTGAAGGTGTCAAGATGATTTGTCAATGTTTGGCCACGCCCTCACATTCTCACTGCCTCACAGTCTCACTGCCTCACTGTCTCGCCCCCTCGAATTCTCGAATTCTCCAACAACAGTTAGACCAACTGGTTGTTGTGCCACTTGCACTGATGGAATGCTAACTGTAGCTCTCCCACCTGGACTCTACCTTTACCTTAAACATTGACTACACCTTGAATTTTGTGGATGCACAGAAAGAAAATGGGACAAATAAAATATAATTAAAATATATTAATAGTCTTTAAGCTGATCATGACTTGGCTTTATTGCCAAAAATAAATTTTTGGTAATTAATTATCATTTTAAAGATATTAACTTTTTTCCTTGATCATATTGATGACAGTTGAGGGCTGTTTTGGCTTTGATGGGCAATTAACCATCCACTGACTTCCCTCCTAACCAGGGGATTGGTTTTTGGCAACAGCTTCTAGCCCAGTTAGCAAGTGCTCGTCAGTAGCTCTTAGATAAGTATTCGGTTTATTTCATTGCATTTATTTTTGTTCTTTTTCGTTCAGGCTTTTAACAGCCCTTTAAAAGTGGGTTAAAGTCTTTAAAAATAGTAATTACCCAGATTTTCTTTTCTTAAATTTAAATAGCGTTCTACATGAATAGATCGGGTTAATTGGGAGTTATATAAAATGCAAGTGTAGGGCATAAAGCTTAAATTATGGATTCTAAATTCTAAAGGCAAACATTTAATCATAATTCATGGGTTGACCAATTCGTAATTTGTCTGTACTTAGTCGAAAATATTTCAAATATTTGCCAACACCTGGAAAAAAGTTGGTTGCAAGTTGCAACTAAGCGGGTTGTTTACGTGGCAGCCCGTCACAGGCATAAAATATTCATACAATATCGCAGAGGCTGGCTGGGCTGAGTTTTGCAGCCAACCAAGGCAAGGTGGAAGCCAAATTAAAACGGCAACCAGCCAGCTAGCCGGCTAGCTGGCCAGCTAGTTAGCCCGGCTGTCAATCCCTCATGGACTAAAGACTTAACAATTTGACAAATAGCCCGGCCAAGGCAGCTGCTGGGCACCGTAGCAGCAACAGTGGCAGCGAAAAAAATATACATAAATTCTCACCTATTGCTGGCAAACCAATCGAAGGCAATGGGAAAAGCGGCGATGAGCACAGATATTTATTTTTGATTTTATTTTTATATTTTGAAAGTGGCAACTACTTGACATTTGCTTTCCAACTACCAAGCTTCCCAGCTTCCCAAACTCCCAAAAAACTCCCAGACTTTCAAATGTCCAAGACACCAGGGCCGGATGAGTCTCTCCCTTTGGCATTCCGACCACCTTTTGTTGGCCGAAAAGCTTGGCTTTTAATGAGCGGGCGACGGAGATTCTTTGCTGGGCCTCTTTCTTTTGTCGAACACCTTTTTTTTTGTGTTGTGTTCAACTTTTCATTTTCAATCAGGCCTGTCAAATTTGTCAAGCTCGACGAGTTTTCAAGTGGAAGGAAACCTCCAGCGACCAAAGACCGACGACCGGAGAAAAAGGCCGTAGAAAAATTACAAAAATGCATTCGAAGATGCGCATTTCCCTCGCCACTAATCAATGGCATCTAATTAAATGGCGTTGATTGTTGTTGCCACTTTGACAAATTGTCGTTGTTTATTTGTCGGCCCTTTGGGCTTTAATGCGTTTTTGATTGGGTCGAGCCGGCTTAAAGGTTTCAGCTCGGAACCTCTCCGGAGGTGTGAGGCATTTTCATTTATTTGCCTCCTAATCAGATAAAGTAAAAAGCTTTCAGTTTGAGTTATATATGCTTCATGCTCAACCGTTAGAGTGGTTTTCCAGAGACCCACGAATAATATGGTCTGATATTTTGATTTGCCAAAACAGAAATCCAGTTTAATCTCATTGTGCTTGTTATGGGGAGGCTTAAAGAAACAATTTACTTGGTAGGAGGTAGTGGGCTGGGGGCTTAGGCCAGTAGGATTATTTTGAATTGGACTGGGTTAAAACGAAAGTAGCTATGGATGATTAATATTAGGAATATAAGGTCAATACAAACCAAAAAAAAAATTTGGTTCCGCTCTAGGATCGGTAAAAAAATTGACTAAGATATGGACATGGTTTGGGGCCCTATATAAGAATCCTGGAATTTCCAAGGGGTTCCATCAGAAAAATTTGAAAAATATCGTTGAAAAATTTTGTTGCCAGGTTTTGATGCAGAATTCCGGAGAATCGTTCCAGAAATCGTTTAAGGTATTCCTCTCAAGAATCGGATAAAAATTGGCCAAGATATGGACATGGCTAGGGGCCTTATATGGGGGTCCTCGATTTTCCAAGGAGTTCCATCAGAAAAATTTAAAAAATATCGTTGAAAAATTTTGTTGTCAGGTTTTGATGCAGAATTGTAGAGAATCATTCCAGAAATCGTTTAAGGTATTCCTCTCAAGGATCGGATAAAAGTTGACCAAGATATGGACATGGCTAGGGGCCGTATATGGAGGTCCTGGATTTTC